TATCATATTTTAGATTATTAAAAGTTAATGTTTATTAGTATTGATTTATATTAAGAGTCTAATTAAAACTAAATTTGTTTAATTTATTTCAGGTGGGTCCAGCCGGCTCCCAATTCGGCCTTTTGGCGTGCCTTATAGTTGAAGTATTGAATTGTTGGCCTATGTTAAAGAGGCCCGAGCAGGCACTTTCAAAACTATTAGCTATCACATTCCTGCTGTTTCTGCTCGGGCTACTGCCTTGGGTGGACAACTTTGCACATCTATTTGGTTTCATTTTTGGATTCTTATTGTCTTATGCATTGTTGCCATTTGTTTCATTCGGACCATATGACCGTCAAAAGAAAATCTTCCTGATCTGGGTGTGCCTGTTATCTGCGTTGTTCCTGTTCTTGTTGTTGTTGTTACTGTTCTACCTGATACCAATGTATGATTGTGAAATGTGTAGCTATTTCAATTGTATACCCATAACTAAAGACTTTTGCGCCAATCAGAATATTAATTTTAAAAAAGATGATTATACGGTATGACAAATGTGGTGGCGACGGTGCAAGACCGCGCATACGTTAGTGACAACATTTGCGAATTGTTTTGTGACTTTAGCCACCTCCTGTAAAATGCTTGAGGTACTCGTTAATAATCATGCTCCCTTTTCAGTGGTAAAAAGGAAGAATAATAAACATGATAAAATTATTATAGTTTTTAAGAAATTTACCTACTCAGTTTCATGTTATTGTGCAAAGAAATCGTTTAAAAAAATCAAATTGTATTGTTTCTAATAAGTTATAATATTATTTACATTAATGATGTATGTTACATATTAGTATTGACTGAATTATTTTATTAGTATTTTATCGTTCAAGTGTGAGGGATAGCTTAAAAGTCAGTGATAAATTTTAATATTATGGTTTTCAATTTTAAGTATAAGCAAATTAATTAAAAATCTATTTGGTAAATTTAATGACTTATTGATTGAAAATTGTAATGTACTCACTTTTTAGCCAATATTCTAAATTGTTCCTTTTTAGATTACATGTCATTTAATAAAAATAAAAATAAATTTATTTATTATGGAATGATTATTCCTCTTTTGTGGTAATAACATTAAAAAAGTGATACTCATTTATTTTGCCCCGCCTCTGAGCCACCATACCACTGAGATTTTAGTAATTCGAAATTTTTTTATATATGATAAAGCTATCAAACATAAATAATAATATATAATTTACAATTAATAATAGCACATAACATTTAATAATTAATAATTTATCATAACATTTAACACAAAATAGGTAGCTAATCTATTTTCGAATGATCCTTTAATACTGTTATTTTAAGGGTACAATATCTTCCTTACTATGTGTTTTTGTTGTCAAAATTGATTACCAGTTTAAGTAATATAACGGTGAATTTATTCATTCATTTCATTATAATTCATTTGTATCAATATTTTATAATAATGTTATTAAAATGAATAGGCAAAATAATGGAGCCGTTCTTCTTTAAAAAAAATATTTGTGTGTATATCATTTATTTATATCCTGATCAATAAGGCATAAATATTCAGGTACGCACAGTTTTTTTTTTTGTCTTTTGAATCTCCCTTTTATTTTATTTTTTCAATTCAAGCACTGTACAATAGGTAGATATGCACCTATACATGCAATAGCAACAATACAAAATCATACCATGATAGATTAGGTACCTATAATATTTTAATAAAAACTAAAATACAATTCAAAATTTTAAGTTTCAATCATTTTCCTATAAATAGATTACGCACTGGTACTAGACTTACCTGTTTGTAATATATCGATCATAAATTTCGAATTTGTTGATTAAAGACTGCCGATGTGTGGTTGCTTGATGGCGGAGCCATACAATTACGTACCAAAAAAGTAATGCCTATAAAAGAAAATTTGTTATGGATGCATTAAAATTCTTAATAATATCTTGATTTGCAGAGTAAATTATTTTCTTATATTATATTTAATCCAATTTCTGAAAAAAAAAGGCAACTTTATTATTTATAAAATATTTAAATTTATGAACTCGTGATTACAAATGTTTAATACAGGAAATAACTGGAAAAATAAAATCATTTGAACTATCTAAATTTGTTTTTGTACGCTACATTTAATATTTGAGCCCAAGTACATAATGTGTAAATGTGTAATACAATAATTAAATATTCCGATAATTGGAGCATTACAGATCACACTAGTATTTATTTAACCATCTGAGAATAAATGTTGATGTGTTTAATTAGGTACTTATAGTCCAAAATATTTTAATTTTAATTTTAAAATATATCTACAATGTTATGTGCGCAATATAACTTAATCTAATTTTTCTAACATTTAAAAAGTTAAAATTCTTTTTTTATAATTTGTTTAGAAATATTGAAAAAAAATTTAAGAAAAACCATCAACATTGAAACACAGCTAAGATAGCTTAAAAGCGTATGTAGTACATATAATGTAAGTTCTATTAGTGTAATGTTTCAAAATTCAAATACAATGCGAAATAGGTGTGACCGTGTTCGTGTGCTAATAGGTATTCTATACTTTGTAACTTATAGGTATTATAATATTTGACCGCCTGTTGCATTAGTTATATCCAATACAGATAATTGTGCAGTAGGTACCGATCTACTATCTAGTATCTATATTCTGTTTAGCAATATTATTATCGTGGTAGGAGATAGGTACCTACTAACTTTAATGGCATTTGACCTATTCGAATATAAGAATACCTTATGAGAAATTGTACAGTTATCGTACTCGTGTCTAATAATAATGCAAACTGACCAAACTCATCGTAATTATTATTATAATAACTAGCAAAAACCAATATCTAAATAGTTATATTTTTCTGAATTTTCAGGGTAAAATCCTCTAAAAAATCTCAAGATTGCTTTCGGCGATCTGTTTATTTATTCTTTCATTTTTTTTTTGCCCAGCATTCTCTCCGTTACCTCGCTTGCCACCTCACAGATCTTTTATCAATTATATAGGCGTACTTTTCAATAATCATTTTTAATACATTGGTAGTAGCCAGTATCTATATACTCGTAAGTCGTAGACCACTGTCGTAGGATGACGAAACCATGATGATGATCAAGTATTGAGTGGTTTCCACAATATCATCGTCAACCGAAACCTTGTATTACAACAGTGCGTATTCATCCGAGAACGCTCGCACTCGCTTTATAATTTATTATAATATTATGCTTTTAATAATACACAACGTTACATAATGTTATTATAATATAATTAAGACTGTTTAATGTTAAAAAATTGTATAGTTTAGACTATATATTGTATAATTAATAATTATTATTTGAATCAAACGTCGAACTGAATTCGTACAAGGAGAAAATGTACTATTATTATTAGATAACACTATAAAATTATATTATTTTAAAATCATTGTATTAATAATAATATTAATTATCGTTTAATAATATTATCGAGGTCGCTGTGACGCGTAAGAGTATCCTCCGATAACGCATTTTATATCATTTCGTGCATTTGTTACGGACATAATGACCGTATAATATAATAATATAAACAGTCTTAAAGTAAATTTTTGAAACGCTCTCTATTTTATTATAGTTCTAAACGTTCGCATTTAAACATTTCAAACGGAAATCATACATTTTTATCCATAATATGTTAGTACTATTACTAAATACAAATACGTTTCACACAAATCAGTCGTTTTTCTGAAAGTACCTTCTATGCATGATAAAAATGATTACAAATATACTTACCTACTAATTTTAATCATTAATGTTTTAGGATATTTCATACAATTTTGACATCTGAACAAATCACGATATGTAGTATAATCAACGATTATTAAACATTTTTTTTTTCAAATGAACAGATTTCTGGATAGGTACTTACGTATAGGTTGTAGCACACATTAATAAAAGCTGTACACCATCTCGGCCATCGGTATTTAAGACACGAGAGTAAAATAAAGACGGCACGTGCACTCATCGCATAACTTTCACCAACTATATAGTGATATTCACTGTAGCAATAAGTCTGCACAATAAGTGTTGTATATTTTTCGAAATAGGCACCTCCCTAATTTTCGTACAAAACTCGGATTTTTCACTATCTCATAGGTACCTATAACTACTCATAAACACGTCAAGGTTGATTGAAAATATGATTTTATCGTTTTTGTTGTTATTGGTCGTTCCTATGTAGTGTATTCTCATAAAATATTGGCTCTCGGTGTTTATCTTCGAAAAATGTGCAACGATCGCATGTGTAGGCACGCAGAAAATATCATAAATACCTGTAAAGTTACGATCGCGGAATGACAATTAGACATTAATATTATTATCACTTAAAGGCTCGTAGGTTATATTCTCAAAATTCGCGCGTGTAAGTTGGGTGGTATGCTACTAATATTACTAATGTATGAATAACGAACGCAATAATAATTTTTGTTTTACCGTAGCATAATTTATATTATTATAAACGTATTTCTCGTTAAAGATTTGTCATTTTTTTTTTATCTATATAATATTATCACGGTTATTGTAATATCTCCCTGTAGCTGCTAGTCGGCAATACAATCGAACAAATTTTAAAAATTCACAATCGTATATAATTCAGTATGGCTACTTCGCGTTTGTCCGAACAGTAAATATCATAATATATCCAATATAAATTATGCATTTTAAAAAACAGGTACACTGCTGTTACTGTACCGTTCACTCGTCATATTAAATATATACCTATACTAATATTATGTATACCTACGTAAAAAAAAAAATAGACATTTGTAAAGTGATTTAACGATTTGTTTTGTTTTTAATAATTATATTGTAATATGTACTTATAAATTAATATTACATTCGACTATAAGATTATTTTCAATAAAAATTATATAATGCGTATATTATTATAATACATAGGGATTAAGATATTTTTTGATCATGTATATTGATATTATTTACAATAATATTCAGTTTATGTGTCTTTACATAATATTGTCATTAAAAAAAAAAACGCAGAGCTCCTTAATGGAGCCGACTATATAATATAACATATACGTTTGATAATAATTATATTATATCGCAAACTGATTAATTGGACAAAATGTGCGTTGTAATATTTTTATTATATTATATATTATACACACACATATATATATATATATAATAATTATGGTGTAATAACGAAATTGTGTAAATATTTTTGTATTGTAAATCTTCCATATTGTATCCTAATGACCAAAATGAAATGGTAAATGTATATTATCCAATATTATATAATTATAGTATTTTGAAAATCAATATGCTCCGTATGTGTTGACTTTGTAACATAGAAACTTCCAGTACACTCCCAACGCTGCCAATGATACTCCTGTCAAGTGTGAATCACAAGACCTATAACATTAATGAACAAAATATGTAACTGTCGGCTGTCAATAAATATTAAAAATCAAATGTTTCAGGATTTATGGTTTAAGAAGGCGTCGTATCCGCATGTGTTGAACCCGTCCACTTAATTATTATTAATTCGTAATATTATATATTAATTAAACATGCATTCCCGTGGTGGATTCTAACATCAAACGTGGTTCAAATCAGAATCCTGCTAAGCGCTTATCCTGTCACCCAATATTTCTATAAATGTTAAATTATATTAGGTGTCTATTTATTTTGTATTGCGCCTATATACAGTACCTAATTTAATTTTCTATAAGTTTCAACTATTATATATTTTTAATTTTTCGAGCTTTTTAACTCACAAACACAAATATTATCATGTATAAATCGAAAAAAGGTTAAAAAAAAGTAGACAGTTTTGAATGTCAATAAATACCACAAAAAAAGTAATAAACTATTTTTAAAATAATATTATGCCTAAAAAAGGCTAATATAATTTTGTGAACAATTTAAGTTTTTAAAATTATTCATTTTAGAAATTACAGCAAAAAACTAATTCAGTCTTATTGAAAACGGGTTTTTCTTAAAAATTCAAAAAATCACAAAATCTAAAATTTGTAATTTATTCTAACTTTAAATTCCTAAAATATATATTTACTAACTATTTTACTATACTATTTTAACTACTTTGCCTACTATGTAGGTATTTTATACTTCTTAATTCGGACAGGTGATTCCAGTTAATATTGTACTTCATTGTTTAAAGAAAGAAAGAATGTTAGTAAAAAACATCACCATAAGAGCAATACATTGTTCACTTCACTATAAATATAAAAAATATCCAAAACTAATACGCGTTCATCATTTGGTTGAAAGTTTTGGAACCCCAACAATTAAAATCTAATATATTTACGATTGATTATTTTTGTGTTGAATACACTTGTTGTGTTTCATTGAAGATACAATAATTGAAAACCATTCCGGCCGAAAGAAATCCACCATGTTTTGCATTCCACAAACTGCAACTATATAAGAACAACAATTAAAAATTTATCATGGTTCCTATCTTATATTACCATCTGCCTATACATTTGAAAATGTTATTAAAATCATTACATGTTGGTAAATTAAACAATATCAAATATCAATAATAAATATATGAAACCCGTAACTAAAACTAATTTATTGAAACAATAATTATACTCGTCCATTACAAAATAAGATCTTTGTATTATTACACTATTCTTTATACTTTATAGTTTGAAAATCGTATACACCCAGTCTGCAGGTCCGACAGGTGTACAGTTTATTGTTTATTATTACCAATAAATATAAAATACGATTAACTATGTATTATGTCTAATTCTAAGTATAGGTACCTATTTACTAGTGGTAGAATTCAAATTTCTGGTAGACTAAGGCATTAGGTAAGTGTAATTAGCGTTGGTAGAAATAGACAAATTCAAAAAATAATATCTCCAAATACTTATTTTCTTAAAAGCCCATCCAACTTTTTAAGCTATTATTTTTTTTCAATTTTTAAGAATTAAATTATTTTTTAAGGTCAAATAATTGGGCACTAAAAATGGTTCTAATTTATCTCTACATTTTATTTTTCTATTGGCTGTGTTTATGAGCGACTAGATTCTAATGAGAAATTTCCGAATGTGACATAGGTATAGCAGGTATTTAAAACATTTAATGTTTGTGTATTAAAATATAGTACGTAGCTACAATTTAATTTAAATAATTTAATTTTAAAAAGTTCATAAAATGAATGACTGAAGAGAACTACTTTAAGGTGAAAAGGTTTGGCGGTGGCTAAAATATAGACAACCTGAATACTTGTAATTACTTATGAGGTTAAATAAAGTACATCTATTAAAAGCTCCCCAGAACTACAGAATTATTAATATTTGCTAGAAACGAAAACGCTAGTAATCACGTAACTAACTAGTTGATGTGGGGCGGGCCCAACCAATAATTCTAGTTGAGTTATTAGTACTTATTAGTTATTACACCACTAATATACAAAGGATTCTTTAAACACGTAGGTCGACTGTCAGTGGAGAATTAACAGGCAAGGTATTTTGATGACTGATTGCATAATTTTTAGGGTTCCTGTCTCCTTATGCGTCAATCTAATGCCTTTAAACTAGTGAAATCACTAAAATCTTTGTTTTGTGAGTTGGTACTATAAGTCTATACAAAATGGACTGGTAACAGAGAGAGAGAGAGAGAGAGAAAGAGAGAGAGAGAGAAAGAGAGAGAAAGCGCCAGAAAGGTCTATGGGTCAACATTTTAAGTATATAACTAGGGTAGTTGTGTTTATTATATTTATTTATTTGAATTTAGCCCAATTACATCGTGTAATTTCAACATTAAACATTCAGAAAAATAACAAAAATAAAAATAAAGATATGCATATATAATAATAGAAAAACACTTTTTTTTTGGTAATTTAAAATTAGTACAAAAAAAATAAAAATATATACTTATACATATTACGTATATGTTTTTCAGTGTACATATATTTAGTAATGATATAGTTGTAAGAGTAATAATAATAATAATAATAAAACAAGATATAACAATATTACAAAAGTATTGGGTATCTCTTTCTAACAATATATTGGCACAGAACATTTAGTGACCTATAGTAGTCTATGGGGGATGCGCAGTCCGTGTATTAATAATAAGTCTATGGTCGTACGTGTACGTTGTATTTTAGAATACAGTTTTGTAATTGTAACTGGAGATCCGGACCCCCCTCCCCCCTACGAAATTTTTAAAAGTTCATCAAGAATTGTTATGCTTTAGTGTCCAGTATCCATACAATCCTCCCCTCCCCCCGAAAATCCTTATATGCTGTTTCCGACTCTGAGCGTTAAAACGCAGATTTTTAATATTCGCTTGAGTAGCTGGTTTTGTGCTTGGTATTCTTCATTTAGCTCACAATCATACCAATATCTCAGATGTCTTGACCTGCCTACTCACGCTGAGCTCAGAAAAAAGTTAAATAAAAATATATTCAAGGTCTAATGTAACGAACCAAATTGATATGCCTAATACATTTCTAAGTCCCTTCGCATTCGCATACCTATTCTTTTTTTTTAAATATCTTTCATACTCTTAGATCCAACACAAACTATTTACAAGATGATCCTTTGAGACGTATTATGTCACTTGATCTCTCCTTTGATGATGGTTTGTTTCATTTCACATATATGTTTATTGTTTATGTTTTATATTGTACTTGTCATTATTTCTGTTTAATTTTTATCTGGAATTATGTCTTGCCGTCGAGACGGAATGCAATCAATAGCTACGATATTATTTTTATCCTATTTTATGGAATTACCTACCGCGGGTCTAATTAAATAAATAAAACAATATAGGTAGTGTCGTTGCGGTCGGTCTGCGTAGCTTGTAGATACGCCGAATTTTACTATTTACATACTTATATGTTTAACAATTTATTATTTCCCGTTAATATCATAATTTCACGATTATTATTATGATACTTTATAATATGTTTTAATGTTTTATACGTCATTGCAGTTTAATAAATCCAGACGTAAACTCGACATATTCTATTATAAATAATTAAATAAATATAAAACTGTTTTTGAATCTTTAATAAATGTAATTATTATGGAAATATGATGGTATTAGTACTTTAAGTTATAATCACGGGGTTCGGGGTGCTAGCATTGAAGTTCAGCGTACTAAGCACCTTTAGCACCCCTGCGATTTGTGCCTATGTTGCCATCATAATCAGATATTAGATAATCTACATTGTTATCTGTGTACATATGTTGTTTATTCTAACGTAGTAATGTTATATAATAAAGGAGAAACCCGTATATTTCGTAATAAATAATTAATAATACCTAAATAAATAATATCATTTTACGCAACGTACATTCGCACATAATACGTGCTAACAGTCAATTATCTTACTTTGTTCAATGAATAAATCTTTGTATCTATCGAGCATTTCTAAATCGTTAGCCATGTATTGAGCTTCTTCAAAAATTGTACTGCATTTATGCTGTATTATTTCTTTTAACACATTTCGATGTTTCAGATTTTTACATTTCATCTAACGGAAATAATAAAATATAATATCTAACACCATATTAAGAATTATGATAATTGATAATATAATTATGTAAGTTTTTTTAACTTAGACATGATCGAATAAAAAAAATGTTACTCACTTTTTTTAAAAGGTGAATGTACAACACTTGGTGTGTAAGCGCGTATCCAAAAAATTGTTTTTGAAATTCTAGTTGAAAGCATTCATACGTTACATTGCATGAAGTAATCACTTGACCAATGCATTTATCCGAAACATTGCGAAAATATGCATCACCATTGGCCAAAATATTCTCATCAAACCATATTTTAGCAGGCAACGTAATATTGAATTTGTGTTTTAATGTTTGAGGAGAAATCCAAAGTTTATGATCGAGAATTGTTCTTGCTGAAAATCAATTTATTTAAATATCCGTTCTTAGAGACATCATTACATCAACACTATCACTATATGTCTATACATAATTAAGACTTAAAAAGTATCAGTTGAAAAAAATACATTTATACAATATGTTGTGTTGCACTTAAGACTAAACCATAAACATAGGATGTATATTTATTTATTTTATTTTTTCCTTTTTTATTTGAAATAAACAATCTGTACAATTTGCACAATAAGCTTATATGATATAAGTACATGATACGTGACAGGCGTGATTTAAGCAGCCACCCATTAGTGACTCTTGACTAATTGATTAATTATTTTAATTAATTTTTACTATAATTACATAATTTATATATATATATTTTTTTTTGTATATTTATTTAATTTAATAGATGTATTATGTACTATTAAAATAGTATAAATAAATATCTAATATAATCAATGTATTTTTAAAGTTAAAGTAAATACTTCAAATGTAATTTAAAAAACAATAGAAAATAATCAATATTATTTTGACCATAATATAGTTAGGTATTAATTATATACAATTTACTAATAATGCTTTAATTAAAAAATAGTAAGGATTTAAATGGTTTAGGTCTTTAGGATAAAGAAAAAAAATACAGCTATGCACATACATTTTTAGTCGATGTTAACAAAAAAAAAAAAAAAATTAAAAATTAAAACTTTTGTTTTAGTGGAAAATGGAAATGTAGGTATATGTACCATTACCGAGAGACAGTAAACGGACTTGACCAATAAAAAAAAAAATTAATAAATAATATTATAATATGAGTAAACGAAAGGTAAATTTTGGATGAAAAGTGAATCATTTAATACATTATCGCACACATCAATGTGCTACCTATATGGCTATATGTGTATTCACATGTATACCTATGCAATCAAATTTAAAAAAAAAAATGAATCAATATAATGTACCAATCACCTCTAAAAAATCTACTTAAAATTTATTATTTTATAAAAAATATTTAGCTTACCTGATTTGATTAAATTGTTTTTATAAAATTTCACGTATAGATGTCTAATCATTGTATTCAATTTATACATCTTGTAGAAACCGGTATTAAATTGTATTCGAGAATTTTCTGTACAAGACATAAATTGACCTGTGGATTTATAGGTACAAAAAATGTACACAGATTAAATATTTGAAATACAAATGAATTCCTAATTCTAAAGAATATAGATGAATAGATAATGCACATATGTAATATACAAATATTTAAATATGTAAATACAATAATTAGGAGCGGACTGGACAAGCCCTGGCCCAGTGGCCACATTTAGATGATGGCTCTGAAAAATTAAAAAATCGAAGTTCGGTTTATCCGCTATGCTCGCAAAAATTCGTTCACAGTCGCACCGCGAGGTATTAAAAAAACATATTTTATAATCTACCTTAAAAATAATTATTTGAGACGTGTATCTTTGTGAACAGTGATTATATATCTTAGCTCATGACTTTATATATCTAACTCTAATATACACCTATGCAATATATAATAATATTGTAATATATACGTATTGTATAGATACATTACAATGCCCTTACTCTTTATATACTTTGTACTTATTATTAGTTATTGATTATTGTTAATTTATTAATAACCTATTTTTTTAGAGTTTTGACGCTTGGAAATTCTTAGGCAAAACTATATTTGAACTAAAAAAATTAAAGATAATATAAATAATAAATATATATAATGAATTCTTGTGAGTTGTAAATGATAATACGTATGATTAAGTCATGGACCTATAGAGCAATAAAATATGTGATTTCTAAAATAAAAATTTTTTTTAGGTCTATGGTTAACACGAAGATTTGTGGTCCAGTGTTTGATAGTGAGTTAAACAGATGGCGTAGAAGAAAAAATACCGAACTAAGAGAAATCACTAAAGTTCCATTGTTAACAAGTCATTAAGTGCCAAAGACTCAAATGGTTAGTACTTGGTCATACTATGCGGAAAACAGAAACTATTTGTACAAGAGCAGTAATCGAATGGCAACCCACGGGAAAAAGGCCAAGAGGAAGGCATAGAAAACAATGGATGGTTGGCATAAGGAAGGACTTAGAAATACTTGAAGTGACGGATAGGGAAGATAGAGTTCAGGATCGTGATTATTGGAGAACGGTGACGGTGACAGCCAAAATTCAAAATTATTACAGAATTGTAAAGCCAAGAGAGAGAGAGAGAGAGAGAGAGAGAGGTTAACACAGGTAGGTTTACTCTGTTCCACGAGAGAACATACCGCGGCCCGACCAAAATCGGTTCTTCTGAGCATCCCCTGACACCCTGCCACAGTGGAACCGATTTCGATAGCAGTGTGACATGGAGGGAGATGCACAGAATCAGCATGTTCTCCCGTAGACCGTAGTACAGAGTAGAGTCGATATTTGATTTTTTTATGGACATAATATAAAATTTATTTTATTAATTTGGCTAGTTATGCGTATTTAATATAGTATACATTAAAAATGCTCATACATCGCTTAAAAACTAAATTATCGTGAAAACCCCACATACAAACACAGAAAATATTCTAACCATCAAGTTTCATGGTAGGTAGGTCGATTCACATTAATTTTTAAACTAACGAAGTTAAACGTGATCTACTGAGAGTAAATTTGCTATGTTCCACACTTGTAAGACGACGGAAACAACAAATGGTTGTGTAGCAAGGTGTAGCATCCTCTTAACTTCGTAATAATTTATTACTAACAAATAACAGTATGAAATAAGTACAGTAGATATATACACTATAGTCACTAGTGTATGGTGTGATGATTATTTTCATACAAATATTAGTGCGGTATAATATTATATAGTTGATCAATGATCATAGGTTGCTCGGCCCTCTCTTCGTCAATTTCAAATAAATAAAAATATATTAGCCTGTTCGACATATTATAGAATTGTCACCCAAACCAAACCAATATATTTTATGTGGATTCCCTCTCACAGGCCACAGCGTAATACTTGGAATTAGTTGGAAATGAAAAATAAGACTTGACAACCTATAGCGGAACGGTAATAAAGTTGTGGCGGTCGAATGTCCTAGAACTTTCGGACGCCTCTTGTAATACGTTCTGGAAGATTCGCACTGCCGCTGTCGCCACCTCTAGAAGATTCGACATCTTATATAAGCTCAAAAATCGTCGCTTCGTACAACATTCATTCGTCAGTCAGTTGCGTGTTTTATTTCGCCGTCTCTCCCTTTTCGTTTGTATAATAAATTAACGTTAGCTCTTGACGCTCTTGTAATATAGTTGTCAACTTGTAAATGTTGTAATCAGTAAAAGTGTTTATTGATTGACATCTACCTATTACACCTCGCTACATATTCACATCTTTACTTTCTATAAAAATTATTAATATAACAACTTAATTTTTAACAAATTAATGAACGAATGGAAAAAATACTGGCTAAATTTAACTTTTTAACAAACTCAGAAATAATATAAATATTGAAAAAACCCCAGACATAAAAAAGATAGGAAGTTATAATTCGAGCAAGAATAAGCCACCCTCACATCTAACCCACTCAGCCACTTTTACTTCATCAGCAAAAACCAGGGTCTGCCAGCACCAACATATATGTTCTAATTGCAACGAAATACTCACAATAGAGCAATTAGAATTGTCGGTTTTCTCTAAATCATGAATTGGTGGATTTTCTTTCCACCATATCAAAAATACTTAAGGGATAGCATTTGAATAATATTGAATGGCTATGGCTATTAGAAGGATAGACAATAGACAAATTGTTAATTAGATAAATAAATTGATAAAAATAATATAAACTACTAGTTTACCCCGTGCACTTTGTTGCTCGTTAAAAATGCCAACTCTATATGAGAGTCGATGGTGATAATGAGAGCATTGCGAGCAGCCAATTATGCCTACCTGCTGCAGTGTATTATTGAAATAATATGTTTTATATTTATTTTGATTGCGGACATGCCGATGAGCGGCTATAAGTGCAACTCGGCCACCTTGGTAGGCAATGTGCGAAAATTCAATAATTGACAATTATTGTATGCATGCTTATACCTGATCTGCCCGATGAACCACTGCAGGCAATCAATAAACAAAAAAAAAACCATTTCTACTAAATATTTATATTTCTCCTACAATCAATAGCAACCGTATATAAATAAATATTTTCTTCATAAATCTTAAAATCTCTGTTTGAGCAACTCCCCGGGTCAGACCTATTGGATCCAATTGTGAATCTAAACCATCTAGGATTGTGTCTTGTTAGATTATTAAAATAAAATAAAATAAAATTGTACTCACGCAGTTTTTCTAGTAACGCCAACAACGGAAAATGGGAAATGAAGTGATAATCGAATAATCATATTTCATATAGGTAGATAAATCCTAAATTGTATATCTACTATCGACTATATTGCGTTCTAAAGAGAGGGTTAGGTTAGGTTAGGCTAGGGTATTTACGGCTATAAATAAAATCGAACGGAATAAAAATGATACGAAAATTATCTCTTTACAAAATTTTAACTTTACTTTATGGTAGTGAAAATATTAATACCCAATATTCAATACACGACATATTTCTCCATGTTGATCCATTTTTTTGGCAGGGGCCTCACTTTAACGATGATTAATTATGTCATATGGACAACTTTATAAGCTAAAGCTTTTTCAATTTGAAAAAACATTCCGGAACTCCAAAATTAAATCAAAAAAAAAAAATTTAAAAAAAGGGTTTTCAAAATTTTTTATTAAAAAACCTTTTCCTGGCAATTACGAACAATTAAAAAAAAATTTAAGCCAAATCGGCCAGCCATTCTCAATTGATGAATTGTTATACATTTTTGGCTCCATTTTTATATACATGTATAATTTTGGTTTATGATTAAAAAAGATTGAAAATTGAATATGATGTTCCTCATACTTCCTCAACAGTTGCAATATAATGTTCTTGCTTCTTATCACAATTAATAAATATTGGTAGGTAGTGACATTGTTATTACAAGTGTCAACTTCTCCAAGAGAAATAACGTCAAAAATCAAGCCACTGCATATCAGTTTACACAAGATTACCCATATAAGTTCAAACTTTAATGAAATTCGTCAAAATTCAATAATTTTCCAGTGCCTAAATATATAAAAAAAATTTCAGAGAGTCGTTTAATGATAAAATAATGTTGGAAACAACAGTTTTATATTTTTAAACGTTTATACAAGAACTATGTATGATTTTAAAAGTTGCATGATATAGTGGAAAAATTATTCGTATGGTTTTGGAAGAAATAGTAAAGGTATACATACTTTTGGGGGAAACTGCCAACTGGCTACCTATGTCCGAGCCTAAACAACCCACTTCACTACACCAAGCTCACAAGCCACAACGAATAGAGAACACTGATCAACCTGTACATTTTTTCATGCAACAAATCTAAAATCTAAATTCTAAAACTTTTTCAAATATGTAATCATATTATGTACACTGTACCTATCTATACGAACATAATGCATATTTATATTTATTTCTAGTTATTAAGTTCATGTAGGCTAAAAACCTTTGTAATTGAGCTTTATTTACCAAAAAGGTATAAAAAATTATAGGTTATAATATTTTATTATGAATAGAAAACTTAAGAGCCATCAATAATTTTTATACAATATAATGTGTTAATGAATTGATCTTTAAATTGCATATGTTACAGATATTACTAGAAAACGGTCTTGATCGTAATAAAAAAATAAAGATATTATGTAAAATAAATTTGGATTTATTTCAATTAAAGTTATGATCTAAATCGTATACATTTTTTTATCATATTTAAAATATCTTATTCCAATAAAAATATGTATTTACAATAAAATCCGTTCCCTAAGTATTACTATTACTTACATATATTATAATATAATACCTTAAAAACGTACACCTATATTATTTATCGACTATTCTATAGGTATTTAAATGTTGAGAAATATTCTATTTTAGTTAATTTTTAATGTACCTACATTAATTATTAATATTAAATACTTAAATATGAAATATATAGAATACTTAAAGAATCATATGAAAACTACAAATACCTATTACTTACGACTTATTAGAGTTAAGAGTTATAAATTATAATAAATACCTAGGTATGTGTCAAATAAAAATAAATACACAGGAACATATAATCTATACTAAGGTATCTCTTATCTGGTATCTGGTATCTACTACCGTGCTTTTATTACTTTTAGGTAGTAAATAAATAATTATTTTAAAGGTACCTACTTATATACCTAGTTTTATTAGATTCTGTACAATTCGTCAGTGATATAATATTATAGTACAATAGTCATCATTAAATTCTACATTATAAACGAAAACAAAATAAATATTTTTTACCTTTCATTATGGATACCCCAAGCATTAAATTTAAGTCCATACTATTAAAGTCAACGTCCGATCTTAAATAATACCGCATCGGCGATTCGACCAAATCCAGTATTCTGTTTTCCAAGTCTCGGAAGTTGCTTAATTCTTTATCAACAGTAAAAAACGGTTGCGACGTTTTGCAGCCAAGCAATACTCTGCTGAGTAGTGCTACGCAAAAGGCGTACCGATGCAGCGACATATTGTCGTCTTGCAACGGCAAAACTGATTGAAATGAGAAGTGTTGTAAATGCCGTGATTTGCGTGGTTGTTTTATTCTCGGGGAAAAAAGGTTTGATTGTGACGAATTGTTATAGACGTCCGACGACGACATTAGACGCTGTGTAGATAGGGATATAAATTATTATTATACTTGTCACCTAGGGTTTAATTTTTTATTTTCCAAACCCAACTCGTCGCCTAAGGGATAAGATAAGCTTTGTGATTTCGAGTAACCCAATTCCGTTTTTTAATTTGGATAAAAAAGCCACACAAAATATTTTATTTGAATTCTTTTTTATGTCCCCCATTTTATTAAATGGTTCTATGACAAATATTTTCGACATTCAGTTTTGAAATCTACAATTACTCACAATTCTACCACAAACCACAAATTATAGATCATTAGAATTATGGGTAGGTATATAATTTAATTTGACAGATTGCTTACCATAGTCATCTGTTTTTGACGAAAAAATCGACGGATTTCAGTCTTTCAGTTCAAAACAAACCTTTTCCAAATTTCAAATTTTTCAAGACAGCTCTTATTTTTTCTCTAATTTTTAAATAGTTTAGATAAATATGTGGTATATTCAAAAATGAGAAATCAATTTCTGATATCGAAAGTTTTCTCCTTAAAATGTTTACAGTTAATTTTTAAATTCGGAGAAAGTAATTTTGGACAAAACGTTCCTTTTCCAGGAATAAAAAAGTTCCTTGAATAAAACACTAAAATGAGCACTTTTTGGAAAAAAATAAACCAATTTTCTTAAAAAAGTACTGTTTCCACAAGTAGCTAATTTTTTTCTTTTGTTAAAAATCATTGAAGACTAAAATCTGTTCTACTGTACAGCTTGTAACCGGGAGAGACAAAAATATTTCCAAAGCAACAGCTATAACGACAAAACGTATAGTTACAATTTAACTAATCGATAAAATCAATATCTTGGCAGTCCTTATTTTGCCAAAAATTGTACCAACTGTTTGCTTCAGCTTGTATCTATAGATTATCAATTTTATAGAAATCAAAAATTTTTCTCCAATTTTTTTAAATATGTTGAGGTGAAGATATTGTTGTAAAATTGCATCATCTTTTTTTTCAAAATGTTTTTTTATAGATTGTAAAATTTAATCTAAAATAGCACTGTACTTCTTCATAGACCATAGTATAATCAATAATCATAGAAATTAAGAATGATGAATTTGAGGCTGCAGAATATAAGTAATGAGCTCGTTGCCTTGTATTGGACTTTGAATATACCTACTTCATTATTTCATAATGATTTCAAACTTGTCACTATTGAAATAAAATGTTCTGAAAATACTCTTATACTTTTATACTTAGACGACCAGCGTGTCATAAAATAGTGGTGTGTTAGGTATAAGTTTTCTTCTAAACGTACTTTCACGGAAAAATCTTATTATATCTTTTGTAGTTCCAGTAGTAACTGTAGTATTACGAATAATCATTATTTTATTTAAATAATTTATAACTAAATTTAACCAGTGAATTGTGATTAGATCAATGAAAAAATAACGCTTTGATATATTTATCACGAATTAATTTACTAACACCGCCTTCTTGTCCGGCCATTGTAACAACCATCATATCCTTGCACATAAAGTTTGTTTAATTTAAACCACAGTCAGTCATGAATGATATAATATTAGTATCTACGGATTGAGCATTTAATTTGTCTAACGGAGTAAAGAGTTGATAATTTTTAGATGATTTAGGCATTTTAAAATAGACTGAAAATAGACAAGTCAAAAACCCCCTGCATGGCTGCTATAACCGGGACATAATAATCGCAGCCTGTCAGCTATTACCAAAAATATAAAAAAAACCCGAATATATACTTGATAAAAACTGTAATAAACGATTAAGTCATAATAGGACGTGATAAACCGAATTTGTCGATTGTGCTTGTCGTCTGTCGATCATTTTCTGTCGGTTCTTCGCAATTGTGTCGTTGTGTGTTCGAGTTTGCGACCATTTTCCATTTTTAACCGATTTTTCATTTATTGACCCTTTTTCCGCCCCGTTCGTATTTTATTCTCGTTTCTCATAAAGTCTTAAATCCGTGGGTGTCCGGTTTTCGTTCGTTTTCCGTTTGTAACGATCGCAATTTCGATCGAAAACAGTGCAGCCCGCCAGGATCTTACAATTCTCTTACAGATTGTATTTTACAATTTTATCAATGGTCGTTTGTATATATTACCAAATTCTATCTTAAAAATTGAATATTTAAAATTTGTTTTACGTCCTTTTAACAAAATACCGTCGATATATTGGTTATTTAAAATTCTGCAATTACACAGTGCAAGTGGAATGCACACAATGAATACGTTTATGTAATGTTTTATTAGTTTATTACACTTATTAATTCATACGCATTTGACAGGTTATTCAATATATTTAATGGAGTATTCGTCACAGCAGATAAATGGCTTAAATAGTGTAGTTTTGAAGCGTGTAGACATCTCAAATCATAGGTAGGTAGCTCTAGGCTTTAGGTCAAGATGGCATTGGGAAGATAAATGTGATCGACAACAAGCATGGAAATCTTTATATTTTGTAAATGGTTTTATTATAAGCGCTCCTTGTATACCTCTGTGAACATTTGGCTTAAATAATACACATACTCGACAAAAAGCTCCTTTTACGCCTCCAATAGCCGAATGTGATAGCCATGTATTATTCTTTTTCAGCCATATGTGCCTAAATGGACGATCTGGTCGTCACGACCATTTTCCGATTCTAGATCATTTTTAAAATTACAGTAAAACCTCATTAATCCGGACTTCGTTTAATCCGGACAGCCGTTTATAATACGTACATTACGCTAGTTTATGCCGTAGATTAAAATAAACACGAAAACGAATTATAAAAAGATGATGTAAGAAAATTTGTTTAGAAATTTAATGTAGAAAAAGAAACAAGTGTTGTAAAAAGAATGCAGTTGCCACTAGATCAATTCCTTGATGATGCATTTTATCCAATAACATTTTTTTTGAATTTATAATTTACGATTTTGGATTATTTTGTTTAATCCAGACTTTCATTATTTTGGGCAACCAAGAGCCCCAATTAGTCCGAATTAATGAGGTTCTACTGTATACGTATAACTGAAGTAGACGATACCCATAGATTACACAAAATATCGAACTTTAAAGCATCGTCAATATTTACATTTGCCAAGTAGTGTCATATCGTTTTCATAATAAGCTATACTTCCTTGTCATCAACATTTTCAACTTGTTCAGTAAAACTGCCATCTTATCTCAAGTCAGTAATATCAACTGTACTTGTGGAATTAGTCTCTAAACGACTGGGAATTTTACCAATTGCTGTGGAAATATAATTATTCCCCCCCTCCCCGGGGACGACCATGGTTTAGTACAATGGGTGAGGCAATGCAAAGGGATAAATGTGCCCGTGAGTGGCCTCTTCCTAAAAGAAAAAGCGATTTTTTTTATCTATTGTTAATTGTTATTACATAAATATAAGTATTACATAATAAACAAAGAGATTATCCACCTTCTAAAAGCAAAGCTTGTGTTGAAGGTATAGAGCGACAATTTACTTACAAATAATAATTAAATAATAATATAAATACAAATAAAATAAAATAAAGTAGAAAATAATACATAATAACTGCTTACAATAATGGCCAGTTAATAGTTATTAATAGTTATTTTATCATTTTTATGTTTGTCGATTATATATTTTTTAATAATAACAGGCATTGAATTAAAATAAGTAGGACCCAGGGAGTCCACACATTGACCAAAAGATTTTTTTAAATATATCACTTTCACATTGTATGCCAAAATATGTTTCCTTTTTGTTTTTTCATTATTTATAGTTCTCCAACTATCTATATTTTTATGTTTTACCTACCCATAAAATGGCAGTTTTTGTTAACAGTAAATTCACAGGTAATACAATGTATTTAGTAATTTAAAGTTTTGACTTGTTGTCGAATCCTCAAGAGTAGCCGAGTAGGTTTCTGTAGACATATTCGAACAACTTGTCTTTGTTGGATTAATAAAGGTTTCAGAGCATTAGCAGAAAAGCCTCCCCAAATAAGTAGACCATACTGCAATAATGCTAGATATACTGTTTGAATAACTTGTATTAGTACTACCATTCGTAATTTATAAAAGTTTTTAACTTATAGTATGTAGAGTGTAGACGCATTACTAAATTGTTCACATGCACTGTCATGCAGATTCTATCTTAGATTATTGTCAAAAATTAGACCCAAATCACAAATACTAGAGACTCTTAATAACGTTTTACATTTTATATTATTACATAAGTTATTATTATTGCAGACATGAATTTTTAATGTATCAAAATTATCTTCTCCATCATTAATTATGAATTTCATAAGCATGGTTTTATCATAGTTTATCAATAGTTTTCTATGATTTAGAAGATAGGTACTACTCTAAACTCAATTTGTGGTTATGGCAGTTGGGCGTTAGACATTATATCATTGTTCCAAACAAGTACAAATGAATTATAATCAACTTAAAGCATTTGAATATTGTAATTATTTTAAATAATAAACACATAGGTACATTTAAAAATAAAATACAATAATATTTTGTGAGTTTTTTGTTGATTTTGTTTATTACTTTTTAAGATTTTAGCTGGCGTTTCTGTATAAATCAAAAACAATGAAAGAAAGCTTTTCTTTTGAAGTAAAGCATTAAATATTATCAGTTGAATAATATTCCAAAATGTTCATTGGCTCTATAGATATTTTTGTATCAATAACAAATGCTTGCATGTTAGTATGTTTTGTAGATTTCAATGATACTCCCGGTAGTAGTCCGGACTTTCCAGTTATTAGATTGCAATATGAAATTGAATTATTATTGTCTCCACCCACTAGGTATATTCGATCATTCATTACAATAACACCTAAAACAAAATTTTATTTTACAACTTCCTAATGTGTTTATATTAAATTAAAAATCTACAATTTCATTTACACATACATTGGGTAGGCAGGTATTCTTTAAATTTTAAATTAATATGATTACTACTTAGGGAAAATAATTCTTATAGAATAAATTGGATAAATGTATTCACTTCTCACGGGGAAATAACATCTAAAATCAACATACCTACCTACTCAAATGGAAATAATTGATACAAATTTTTTATTGCCTATCGAAATCAATGATTCATAATTAATGTCAATTTTGTTTGATTGCTTTCATTAATATTATTAATATTTTATTTAAAAAATATATTCTATTTTAAATTGTAGTTCTTAAAAAAATGGACATTACCCGGGTTTTTTTGGCTAGTATGGTAACTAAAAGTTTTAATCCAAGTATTAGATTGTGGTCTGTATTTTTCAACAAAAAGATCAGAACCATGATCCTCAAAATCATCAGCACCAACTATGTACAAGTGGTCTTTAAGTGAACATGTTGAATATAACTTTTCTATACGAGTGTTCACAGAACAGATTAGTTGAGCAGAGTCTGTTTTTGGATTATAACAAAAAGCTTTTGAATTGCAAACCTTAAATAAAAAATATCATATTCAATAATTAATGAAAATAAATCATGATTTATGATATTATAAAAGGTATGAAGGTAAACTTCTCTACATTTATTATAAGTATTATAGTATTAATTTAAATTAAATATTACAAAAGTGCTATTTAAAAACAATTTAACTTACCCCATAAATTAAATCAGAAACTACTGTAAGTTTTATACACCCAGTTATTGATATTTTTAACTTAACTTTGTGCCAGGTTTCTTTAAGAATATCATAATATTCAACGCCTACTGTAGACATCTAAGAAAAATGTTAAGAATTATTATACGATATTGAATTATTAGTTTTTAAATTATCTTCAAATTTAAGTTTTTCAATAAACATTAAAAAGTAGACGAGTTAAAATGTTATACTACAACAAACAAAGATATAATTCAGTTTCATTTAGTAACACCACTTAAAATAAACTAACAAAATTATTGTAATGTAAATATACTTAAAATTTAAAGAACTATTAAACAAATAGTTGAGAGGTAAATATTGAAGAGCAATTAAAATATAGGTATAGATAAATACTAAGCTACAGTAGATGTATTCATTCAGCAAAGAAAGGGTCACCAAATGGACAATGGTGGACAGTTGACAAATATTATTTGGTCCCCTAACAAGAAAAAAGTAAAAAATGTTAATATTTTAAGTTCTACTGTGCTAGTTTTGTAATACATCATTTTTGTTCAATGGTTTTTACCGACATCTGGAAATTTGTGCACTTTTTAAAGATTCCTTACGTGGCTCTTGAAAAATATTAATTGGTGACCCCTGAAGTAGAGAATCTGAGAATACAACGCTTTTGTATAACAGGATTTTAATGTGTTTATAATATCCTTAAACAAAAAAGATCTTAAGCGTATGTATAAAATTTGTTAGGTCATATGACATATGAGTATGAAATATTTCACATGAAATTTTCACTTTGAAAGTTTTTAACTTGAAACGTCACAATTCTTGAAATATTGAAAAAAATTTTCTTTAATTTTATGTTTTTTGATGTTTTATAAAATCATCACTAGATGATTAGACTGATTTCATACCTGATTAATGATTATCAAATATTTAATTCCCGATCACAGTGTGAAGAAGATTTATATAAGATAAATAGTTATTATGGTAATTTATGTAATGTACAATGTAAGCAATATTTCTTTGACATTTTTCACTTAACATTTAACTAAGTAGTGGTGTTTACTGCACTTCCTACAATAGTTTTAAATTAAAATTTGAAGTCTATTTTTAAGAAAAATGTAATATTTCAAAAAATTAATTTCATGAAATTTTAGAACTTCAATTACAACTATTTTGTTTTACTATCATCGTGTTGACCCAGTAGATTTAACAATGTGAACATGATAACGCAAAAACAAAATAAGAAGTGGTTATAGATATAAAAATTATTATAAAATGTATATTGAACTATATTTTAAAAACAAATTCACTGAGATTTAACAAATACAATTTTGTTTACATTTTTCAAATAGGTAATAACACTAAAACTAATAAGTATTTAAAAAAAAACCCCTGAAGTAGTTGTCTCAAAAATATTTTTATCTATACATTCTAGAACAAGCGTTTCTACTCTAAAACTACTTTTTACTGCTGTTTTTTGTTATTGTTGTAACCGGACATGTTTTCACTGCCAAAAATAATTGGTACATACCTATAAAAGTATAACCAGTGGCGTTCATGCATGTGAGGGATGTGTGCAAATGTCACAGGCCCTTGGCTAGGGGGGGGGGGGTCCATTATTACCCAACACTTCATAAAAAATATATATATGTATAATTTCTAATACTTCAGTCACACAGATTACAAACAATTACACAATGTTCAAACAATATACTACTTCATCTTTTACTTCTATGAAAACACATAATTTGTACGACAAATTAATATTACTTATAGCATAATATGATGTATATTGTATAAGATTTTATTATTATAGAATAAAAATACTTATTTAAATGTTGAATACAAGTAATAAGTAGATAAATTTATTTGTATTATACAATTATTTAGAATTCAAATCTATTGTAGAGGGCCTTATTTTTGCACACCGTCACTGCCAATACCGTTCTGATGGTGAGATCAGCAAATTAGATCTACATCTTGTAATCTTGTATACTATAGTTATATTTCTTCTATAAAATGTGTATATTACCTATGGTAATATTAGTATTACCGTTATGCAATTTATTATACCATACCCACTAAACCTGCCAAGTAAGTTAAGTACCAATGTCATATTTGCTATATTAATGTGTGAAATATGTATGTTTAATTATTGGTGTATTCATTTTAATAGTATTACAATAATAACACAGGCATTCAATTTTCATCTCTTAAAAAAAAATCTATGGGGGACCCACCATTGCAAATACTCTGTATGTGTTAACACTAATTGGATGCACCATGCATGACTACCCAGCATTTTAATATTATTTGAATTTAAACTAATATCTTAGAAATTTAGAGTAAGTTACTTACTACATAGATGCGATCATAAAATTGTACAATACTTGGAGTAGAATGAATAAAATGAGGTTTACTAATAGGCATCCATGCCTGAAGATGTCCATCATATAATGTAACAGAAATATTTGTATGAAAAAATACTTTTCTGAAATCAGATGAAACACTAGTTAATTAAATTATAGTTACATTTGTATTTTTATATTTTTTATATTTCTATATATAAAGAAATTAGGCTGTTTTAAAACCTATAACCATGCACTTTTTACCCTTTATTTTTTTATAATGTAATATGTATGTAATTTTATGTATATAAAAAATCATTGCAAGATTTCGGCCCAGTATAGTACAAAATACAAAAAGTACTGGCCCATTTATTTTAATTTATCAATTAATATTGAAATTTTTAACATGGCATTGTTTATAACATAACACATTGATTTACACATTTGAGAAGATGATAATATGCACTATTAAAATTTGATAAGTATACCTACTTTGATTTAAATATTTTTTTTTTTGTCAGCTTATGCTTACACCCATACATATTTTCATATAGTACCAAATATCTATACAACCTATAAATACAACCCAATAAAAGTGAATAATTTAAATTATTAATATTAAGCTTCTGAGCGAAGAGATGATTTTTGATTTGAATTGATTTTACAACTATGAGTTGTTTTTTTTTGTGTCTGTTATCATCTTTTTGTACGGTAAGAAACTTTGATTTTCTTCAACAGCATCTTTTCTGGTAGGGAAGTGAATTAAAGTTGGAACTTCAAAGGGGGGGGGGGTCAGAAGTTGGAAAATCAAACAAAATATTAAGGAAAAACTGCAATTTTTACTCAAAACCAGTTTTTGAAAAAAATCAATTTTATTTTTTTAGTGTAACTCTAAAAATAATAACCATAGATACATGAATTTTACATCAAAATACTGCAATACTTTAAACTAACTAGTTTTAATGGTTTTTACAAAATTGTTGTAGATTAACATTTTTTTGTTCGGTCAAAAAATTTATTTAGGTAATACAACTTTCCTCATAAGGTGTTTAATATAAGGTGCTAATGAAAATTTAAAAAAAATAGAGCGTAAATCGACCAATTTTTTATGAGCCTCTAAAGTTAAAATGTTGACAAAATTCATCAAAACCACGAAGATTGTTTCGAGTCAGAAATTCAGAATCTTTTTGATGTGTATATCTAGAGTTTTTAAATTTACACTAAATTCCCCTTAAATTTTCCTACGTTTAACAACAACAACAAAAAAAGTAACTGGAAAATCAAATTAATTTTTTAAGAACGTTTGAAGTTAGACATTATAAACACCCTTAAATTAACTAATTCTCATACGACAATTTTCTTATTTTGTTGTTATTCAATACAATTAGACCGTTTTCAAAAAAAAATTGAAAAAAAGATTTCTTGACACTTGGAGGGTGTTTATAGCTTATTTTTCAACCCTTATAGGTCGCTGTAGGTGGCTCCTACATGCGTTTTTTTGGATCACGAAAAAAATAATGTTTTTTGTTTATTTATATAGATTATAGGGTTACATTTACTTACAGACAATAATAATAATAATCATAATTTTGGCACAGTCAATGCCGGAGGAGACAGCGAGTACAACAATAACAAATAATTAATAATATGCTTCCTATCAGGTAATAAAAATAGAACACTGTGCAAAAATTGTTAAGCTCTCGAATATCTGACACACACAAAATTAATATCGCAAAATCAGTTGTGTAGGTACATTTTTTTTTTTTATTTAAACTTTGTGGATACAATTAGTTTCAACAATTACAATCAATAATGTAGGTACGTTAAATGTATGTAACGAAGGACATAGAAGAGCAGATTGCCTTAGCCTAAAAATACTAAAGCAAAATGAACAAACTGTGATGAAAATCATTGCGGAAAGGATGCCCTACTGTCTAAGAGCAATTTAATAAAAAAAAAACACATTGAAAAGAAAACATTGCTGTGCAAAGAATACAGTAGAAACACTAGAAACCTGTGTTGATCGGTTTCAACGTTTCATATACCTACGCAGATGTCTACTATATTAAAAGAAAACAAGGCAGCACCTTTGATGTCTAATAATAATCAAATAAACAATTATAAACATTGAAGAAGGACTCAAAGATATTTCTAGTGGAGTACATTCACTTTTTACAAACACTATCAAATTGTACAGAGAGAATCAACAAACTGGATATCAGAATATCAGATAGATTGATGTTTTTATTATTAAGATAAGAAACTACTAAAAACATGATGCACGGCTGTACAATCTAGTAGTAGAAGAACTTTGGATGGTTCACTAACTTCACTGCAGTGACAATATGGAAGTCCATAAAATACAGAGCGGGGTGTGGTTATTTCCTTATTTTAAAAAATCATAACGCAAAATGTATTGGCAATATTGATTTAATTATTTTTTCTGTGTATAGGGGTACATTTAAAGTTTTATTTTAATTGATTTTAAAAACGACATCTCGAAGGTGGCCACCGTTCTCGTCAATGCACTGAGATAGTCGAAATTTGAAATTGTTGTCCACTTTTCCCAGAATATCTGTGCTTATGTCGACAATAGCAGCACGAATATTGTTTTTGAGTTGTTATTGTTTTTTGGGGGGTCTTTGGACGATCCATGTATACCAACGAATTAAAGTAGCCCTACAGGAAAAAATCACATGAGGCTAAATCCGGCGATCGTGCTGGCCACTGAAGTTCGCCTCTAAGAGAGATGAGCTGTCCGGGAAAGTGTTCACGCAAGATATTCATTGACCTTCTTGTCGTGTGAGCCGTGGCACCATCCTGTTGAAACTACACTTTCCCTACATTCATTTCTTCAAGTTTGGGCAGAAAAAAATCCACAACCATGCCGACATAAGCACAGATATGCTGGAAAAAGTGGACAACAATTTTAAATTCCAACTATCTCAGTGCATTGACGAGAACGGTAGCCACCTTCGAGATGTCGTTTTTAAAACCAAATAAAATACAACTTTAAATGTATTCCTAATGGCCTAATCCCTATACACAGAAAAAACAATTAAATCAATATTGCCAATACTTTTTGTGTTATGATTTTTTAAAATAAGGAAGTAACCACGCCCAATCCTGTACCACGAACTCGAAAAATACTCCACAAATCATATTATGCATGCGAAACGTTAACGTCGAAATTAACAATTTTACAGTTATACCATTGATTTTATAATACGCAAAGTAAAATAAAAATATACTTTACATAATATTATTTTATATTATTATACTCATTATATTTTATTATATTATATTATATTATTATATTATTATTATTATTATTATTATATTATTATATTAATTATATTATTAAATAATATATTATATAACCAATGGTTATACCTACCTACTGGTTACTCCAATTAACTATCCACCACGGCACCACCAGGAGCAGTAGAAAGTATAGAAACTATAAGTAATGACTGAATACATTCATTCATTATTGGAAGAGATTATAATTCCAAGCATACCTACCTACTCATCGAGCCATCGGGGATTAAAATTCAAAACTGATTACCTCAAAGAAACGTGGTGGCATGCCTTGCTGAGTTGCAAATATTATAAATGCTGAAATTATTTCCATGAGGAATCCCACGTACTGGCCAACTGATTTGAACAAATTTTCCGATTTACTGACTTTCTTTGTGACGAGAAAAATACCATATTGAAGTACTAGAACTTATTTAGAGATTTTATGCAAAAATAGACTTTGCTGACATAACTAACAGGGGAGAGGGGGAGGGTGGAATGCCTCAGACCTAGCTTGCTGAAAGCTATTTTAATACAAATCGATCGAGTAAAAATTTTTTAAACATCATATGAAATGTTTTTGGGCTGGGCACAACTTTTTTCTGACCAATTTTGATCTACAGTTGTCATTGAAACTCAACAATAATAAATATAAAATTAATAATAAAGCTGTATAATTTCGTGCTACAGTCCCTAAGTTTTCCCTATCAACCGATGAATAACATAATTACTTTACCGTCTTTACCCCTAGCAACCAATAATTAATATATGTAATTACGTTACCATAACAACCTCGTTGATAGTTTTTTTCAATCATAATTCAACAAATATACGTTTGATTCAATGTTTTTTCGTGCAGAGGAGAAAATATCAATTCACGCACTAGTTTTTAATAGTTATGTATTTCATAAGATGGTTTTAACTTTAGCTTAAAAAAAAGTATGAGCATATTATTTATATTCAATAATTACCTTCCACTGCCATCTACACTAGGTATGTATAGATTTGTTCGCATACAAAAGATACTTCCATCCCTTAATATTAAATAGTATGATCTATCACCAACATCCCAAGTTAAAGTGGTTTCATAAGAAGTCTTGTTAGTTAAGTCCAACCATTCTATTTTTTGTTTTTTATCTTGCTGATATAGTAACAGGACCTAAAACAAAATTATGGACAGTACATTATACTAGCAGTGTAGGTATTTAACTCATATACGGATATACTAATAAACATACACATAATATTGGCATGTGAAAATTGATTTCGGCATTTCGCAACATAATATTATTATGTGTCTAGAGTTATGAAAAATTATAAGATTTTATAGTGGAGTGCAATTAGGTGGGGGGTTAACCTCTCCCATTTGTACGCCACTGGTTGAGTGTCTTACATAACTCTTCCAAAAAACGACCAACTAATTCAGAGTTTAGTTTAGTAATTCTGATTTTGTGTTGTTAGCTTTTAAATATTACAGCAAATTGACCCATTTGAATTGATCCAACTAAGAAGCAAGCTCACATTAGTTTTTTTTTTGCTATATTCTTATTTTCAAGCAAGTAATTACGAGTATATAAAATAAAAAAATAATTTTTAAAAGTACACAGATAATATCTTACCCCAATGTTTGATAATAGGCCAAATCACTCTAATAGTAAAGTTAACAATACAAAATTGAAGTTGCTGAGCAAACATTTGTTATGTCATCCATTTGTAAGTTTGTAACACAGAGACAAATTACATATTAGGCGCGTGCGTGTACATTTAAACATACATAACGCCATCTCAGGAGGCATATGTTAACTACATCTTACCAACTCATACCATAATAAATTGTATGTTAAAAAGAATCTATTTTAATCGGTTATTTTTAATATCACAGAGAATTGACCTATTAAAAATTGTAATGTAAAAATACTCGCTGTGGGTCATTTTTTTGATAATTTAATTTTTAAAAAAAATATTGAGATTTGTAAATTTTGTGATAAATGTGACAAATCAACTAGAAAAAAATATTTTACTCAGAATACTTAAGGATATATTTCCATAGCGTTAATTTACTTAACTCTGAGTACAAGGTTTAATTAAAAATTTACAAAAGAACAAGTGAAAACACAAGAAATCAGCAAACTGAAAACAATAATTACATTCCAACATTTTAATAAAATAAATATTAACTACTTGTTTTGAATGGCGATTCCTGTATTTAAAAATCGTTGATTCAGTAGATTTTAATGTATTCATTAATCCATTTCTATTCAGTGCAAGTATTTTGTATGTGTTGTGCAAAAAATCCATACCTTTAATAAAAGTAGTAAAAACTTGTTAAATTTTTTATTATATAAATAAAAATTAATACTTAGTTATGAATTGATGATAAATAGTAGAAACTTTTTTTTTATAATTTCACAAATAATATTAAAAAACATTAATTATAATTTACTACTATATGTGTATAATCATACTTTTAAAAATGAGCATTGATACATCTAATAATATTTTTATAAATTATTATAATATACTAAATAAACAAAATCACTTACATTTTGAATTTGAAGAAACTAGTATTTCATTTTCAACAATATTAATCAAGTCTTCTATTTGTATACAAGGCAAACGAATTGAAAGGAATAATTTTGGCAATAATTCAGAACGATTTTGTTTATCATACTTCACCCATGACATGACGGCTTTATAAACCTTAAACAATTTTTGATAAAAATCACCAATATTAAAACCAAAAAAGAAGGTGGAAATGGTACACAATTCATTATTTTATTCTAAGAACTAAAGTTTAACAAAAAAATATTATTTAGTTGGCTTAATAAATTATCTTATATAATAAATATAGGTAAAGGTATAAACAGTGGCGTGTACCACAAAAAAATAGGTGTTGCTCTAATAATTGTTGGTGACCTACCCCTCATTATACTGTTATACCGACCTATAAAATGCCCTATTTTTCTTTTATCAATACCCACCCACCGACCCACCCATATTTAAGGTGTTGCCTCATCAACACTTGGACCCTATGTTACACGCCACTGGGTATAAAGAAGTAAAAAGCAATATTAATCATAATTTTGTTAGTAATATTTATAATAGGTTACAATTAGGGAGTTTAGTTGAGGAATAACCAGCATATAAAACATAACAGTTTTTATAATTGAGTTTTTGAATTACGTAAAATAATAATTGAATGTATAATATTAACATTGAAGTACAATTATTCCGCTCTTGATTTGGTTGCAGATTTGAATTATGTGTGACGAACGTGGTTTGTTTTACTGTAGGACTCAGAGTTCAAAGTACTTGGCCCAACCCAGTAAAAAACACAAAATAAATTTATCAAAATAAAAATAATAAAAATATTAATTTTTATACTAAAATACATGTCATTTGTGTTACATGTTGTTTAAGATTTCATAAGCACCATTAAAATCAAAATTGAATGATAAACGACAAATACTTATAAAGAAAATACATTTTATTTAAAATACCTACTTGTATTTCTTCAGCACATAAATCATCGCTTTTAATTAGTTCCATTAACTGTTCAAAAGTATATGACATAAATTCTGGTGAATCTTTTATAAGCCTAAAAAGATGATTAATTTATTAGAAAGACAAATTTTTTTTTAATGCGTCTTAATGGCAGTTACACATTTTTTAGTGTTAGGAAGGAACAGATTCCTAGAACAAATTCCTTTTAATAAAAAAAGAACGAACAAATTAACGAGTTCCTTTTTTTAAGGAAAAATAATAACATTTTTCATTTTTTCTTTCTTTTGAGTTCCAATTTACACAGATATGAAAACATTTAAATTTAAATATTTTTTTTTGCGTAGTGTGTATATTGCCAATTATAGTGATCGTTATTGAGTATCAAAGTTAATTATATAATATAATATAAATTTATAAGTTATTTAAAAAATATGAATATAATATAATATAATTTTAATAATTAAAAAAAATGAGTAAAAATAGTGAATATAGATGAATAAAAGAAAAACAATTAGTTTGTTTATATATTTTAATTCTTGTGGACCGCTCATTTCTCTTATTATATATTAGAATTGTTGAGTTATAATAGTTTATACTTGTAGCTAGAAAAATAAAATAAAATATATAATCAATATTATATTCTTAAGCTAAATAGTAAATTATAAATGTACTTGTAGGTATGTATAAGTATAATTTATAAATTAAGTGCCCAAGTAAATATCTGAAAAAAACATTGATGATTAAATAAGAATTTTTATTTTGTTTGGAACTACAAAAGTAACTTGTTCATTTTCCAAAGGAGTGACAAATTAAGGGAACGTAACAAAATTTATTTTTATAAGGAACTTGCAAACACTGACATTTTTTGTCAATTGTATCAAATGACCTAGTGTTAACACAAACTAAACATATCTATGATACACTTAATTTTGTCAAACTGAGTTAGATTCCCTTTATTTAAACATTTGTGTTCTTATTTTTGATTTTGATTGACATTTCTTCAATTTTCAAATTTTAAATGAAAAATTATGGATGTAGATATGAAAGGTCATATGTCAACTCCCCTAAAATTTTTTAGTATCACATTACACTTACATTATTCCCTTAAAAAAGATATTTTAAGTTACATTTATATATTTAAAAATTGCATTGCCTTTCAGTTCAAATTCTGACAAACCGATCTTTTGAATTTAATTTTAATAGGCCTTATTATGAGATACTACATTTTTATTTATATACAATAATTTACTGGAGTTTTTTACAAAACAATAGGTACTTGAGAATTTCCTTATTACTTCACTTATTAACATTAATTATGAGGAATTAACATTAATATTTATTTATTCATATTTTATAAAATGCATATACTTTTATGTTGTATTTAATTGTCATGCTCTTTTGGTGGTTTGATAACTGTTGTAGTGTTTTCAATTTATTATTATGGCAACATTGGCAACTAATTGGGATAAACTGTATGGAAAAATATTAAAATACATACTAGTATAATAAAGATAATTGAGTCTGACTATTTTTCTTTCACAGTTAATCACATAACACCGTTAGTTGTTCTATATTCTATAATTTACAACATCACATAATGACAATTGAGAAACATTTCCACCAAAAGTTGGCAGACCCTTCTTCTGAATTGACAAAATCGACAAATGTTTATGCACACAAATTTTAACTATAATTATCCAAACATTTTAATATTTATAAATGCATAAACTTAAATTATAAAGTATGAAAAAAGAACTAAAATTAAATTATTGTAGTGTAATACAATATTGACAGTTAATATAATTTGCCTTGAAACGAAAATAAACTGTGACAAATCTCAACCAACCCTACCAAACTGGAAACCCGGTTAAAAATGTAGTACTCTGATGTTAAAAAGGCGTTTCTAATTACAATGTCTGCCGAAATCGAGAGATAAAAAAGATAAAAAAAAGAGATCATTTAAGCTGGCACAACTATATAAACAAAATAAATGTGACAACATGAGGGACCTAGAATAGAGGTAATTTGTTTGCTGTTTAGTAGCAGAAAGAGTACACAACAAACACGGAAGCATAGAGGTTGTGAGACCCGAGATATACATCAAATACCAACAAAATTTATTTTAAAATATTAAGCATAGAACTAAATAGATGTACCTTAACGTTGGTATGATATTATATACAAGTATACAACCTTCATATCAAATATTTGAATTCAAAAACCCAAAAAACGTTAAGACAATTGTTACAATCAAGAAAGTGCGATATAGTTATGAGTGGACTAGATCGAAATTCAGTACTCTATGGAAGTATGTTTTAAATATTTAGTTAAAAGATTTCTAGAAAGTACGTATATACTTATTTTATACCTAGAAGATGTAGAAATAACTGTATAGGTATCAGGTTTAGGACTAGCCACGTGTTACACATGAGTCGGAAAGAGAAAATAAATAGTGCTTTAATATCCTCTTAAAGGAGTACACAGCAAAAAAAAATATTTTTTTTTTATTTAAAGTATGTTAAATTAGAAGTTTCTGTAATCTAGTCATATTATTGAACTATTATTTAGTTATAGTGAATTCAATAAGACTACATTACTGTATTGGCGCACATATGGGGGTGTCCCAAGTCCTTAATTAGCATCTCCAGATTATTTTGAATTAAAAATACTGTTTAAAGTATAATTTTGGGTTTGTAAGAATGAGTTTAGTTCAGTTTGTATTGATAATAAACTAATGCCACTGAGTACTGACATATATTTCCTGTTTAAACATGTTTAATATATTTAAATTGAATACAACTGATAAAAAAACAAAAATGATGAAAGTAGAGAAAATGTAGATGACCCTGATTGCATCCCTTGTTCATTAAAGAATGTAATAGTCGTTGTATTAATTGGTTATAATAAATCTGTGAAAAAATTTTTTTATTGAAAATCAGTTTCACTATTTTGATTTTATTTGAAATATAATTAATTTATGCCTGGTGTGTATAGTTTTATAGGAGTCGTGGTAACAATGAGGGGGGGGGCACGGGTCACTTTAGGGTAAAACATTTTAGCTCTAGCACTCCCAAGTATAAGACTGAATGTGTGCCTATGCACATTAGGCCAGATACCACACAATTTGTGTGACACAAACACCTACATGTAAATCATAATATGTTGAAAATGTATCAATTTACAAAATAACTTCCCTTTTAAAAAATTATATTTTCAATTTTTTCTTTATTAATATACCTATCAGCAGTGGTGTGTAACATAGGGTCCAAGTGTTGCTCAGACAACATCTTAAATATAGGTGGGTGAGTGGGTATTGATAGAAGAAAAATAGGATATTTTATAGGTCGGTATAACAGTATAATGAGGGGAAGGTCACCTAAAATTATTTGAACAATACCTATTCTTTTTATGATACGCTCCACTGGTATTAAATTTAAGTTCAATGGTATAAAATCATTGTATACGAACAACAATTCTGAGAGAAGACCTATAATATTACTTAATAATTTAGTATATCTGATGATTTTATTGTGGTTAAGTGGTTAAAGTAATTTATTTTACTATAATAAGCATGAGTGCCTACTTCAGTAAGTTAAATTCATTTTGGAAAAAAAATTACACTTGAAAAGTGATTGTGTGTATAAAATGTAATAATATACTCTAAAAGTTGCAAGTAAGTACCTACCCGTGAATAATATTTTTAAATTACAACAAAATAACTTAAATCATTAATCTTGGTTATTTAATTTCGTCCAAATTTGAACATATAATAACTATGAAAAAACTGTGTTTATATATTTTTTGGTTACAGAATTAATCACTTGTATGCAACTTTGTTTTAAAGTTTTGATCCTTAGCTATAAAAGTTGAACATTTGGTAAATATTTAACTACAAAATAATTTGTACATTTTCAATTTGATAAATTTTGTCAAAAATTAAACTTTAAATGATTACCTATAAAAGAAAATTGTGCCTAAATACTTTTAATATTTTTCAACTAATATTGTATCAATATGAAAATTCAAATAATTCAAGCTAGCAGAAAGTGTCATCAATGGGTGGCTCCTTTCAACAAAAACCTCATGTCGTTTACCTTTACCACATTTTCTTATTGTGTCTAATATTGATACAGATTGTTAATTACTTTTAAAAAAATAAAAAATAAAAAAAATATTGTATCAATATATCAGAAACCTTTTATTAAATTTTCAAGCTTTTTTACATAACAAATACAATTTTATTAACATTTATAACGAAAATTGAATATTGAAAATATCCGTATACAGCTCAAAATGAGTCAAAATATTTTGAAAATGTTATCAAGTACATAAATTGATAATATATACATATGGTGTAAATTTATAGTTCTACAGTTATTCGTTTTTGAATTAAAATAAAATAAGAAAATCCCTATTTGAGAAATTGAATGAATATCAAATGTTCTTAACATTTTAGCTTATAAATAAAAATTTATTTTAATGTTCTGGTAGATATTTTTTTTTTTTTTATAAAGATAGACAAACTTATAACGAATCTTGTTTAAATGTTAAAATCTTAGATATAAAAGGAAAGTTTTTTATAAAGTTCTAACTCAAAATAATTTGCAAATTTTCTTGATTTTTACGAATAGCGTCAAAATTCTAAATTCAAACGTTCATAAAAAGTTATTGTGAATCAACAAAATTCACTTTTCTATCACATAACATGATGTTAAAGAAAATCAAACATTTTTACTTTGATGACAAACAGAAAAAAAAAAAATAAAAAAAACAAACACATCGTATTCAATACATTCATCACTCCGGTTCAGAATCTAAAATCACTTGATAAAATATGCAAAACAGATGTCACAAATACCATGAAAAGAACTAACCAATTGTAAAATTGTGTACCAATTTAAATTATTGTAAATATAAGATTCAGAATGCTTAAATTCATTTATTTTTAAAATTACTTACAAAAATTGGTTGATAGCATAATCTTTAGGTTTAGGTAAATTTGCATTTCCTGGAATAAATAATGACTTTGACTTTGCCTATAATATAAAATGTCAATTAAATATTTAGATATACAAAAAATAGAATAGATAACCAAAATAAATACATATACTTAATAATATTATTGTTTTTTATTAAATAGTAACTTTTTATTTTTATTATACCTACCTGATTGTATTTTCTGCATGTTATATTGTTAGTCAATGATGATTCATCATCCATTGAATTAACCTGCAAGTGCTCTTTATAGGCATGACACAAATAACTCATACCTATAAATAATAATAATTTAATATTTAAAAAAAAAAAAACTACAAATAGAAGTAATTTTGTATGTGTGTATGAGACATTAACAAAAAACTTTTGGGCGTAGAATAGTGTTTGAAGTTAATTGAATGTCTTACTTATTCTTGGATATATAGGAATGGTTAACAAAAGTTGTTTTGGTACGAGAAGTAGCTTATATATACATATGTTTATGTATACAAGTTTTGAACTTTCCTTCAATTAAGATATTAATACTTTTCACACATATATTATTAAAATGTAAATTGATATATCTCGTGTGTTATTAGATTGTACTCTCGACTTTTGTCTTAAATTTTTACTTGCTTCTATAGTTTTGAAGTACTTGAAAACTATGTAGTCAAAACTTTTTTTGGACTTTTATTATTTATAGAGGGGTTCACTGAATATTCTACGTCAAAATATGTATTTGCTAATAGTTAAAAATTAAACTTACATTTAATATCAGATTTAATGTGATCCTCTTCTTGAACAGTATTATTCAAATAATCAATTGACATTACACTTAACCGAATAGACTTAAATAATTCCGGCAAATATTTCAAACGTTCATTTAGGTCATGTTTCAGCCATAACATAGTCGATTCATAAACCTTTAAAATTTTTATATAATGATAAAACCACAGATTATATAAAATATATTTTTATTATGTTTTATAAAATCTGTAATACAACTATAGAAGTAGGAACATAAGTACCTATAAAACAATAATACATTTCAGCTTATTAAAACCGGTTTTTGAAATTTCAGCACCATTAGCAACTAAAACCGAAATAAGAAGTTTTAAAAACAGAGTTACAAATCATAACTTTAACCAAAAATTTAATAAACAGAAACCTCTAAAGTCAATGGTTTCTTCTGATTTTATAAATTAATTACAACACCTATTTAAGATTATAGTGCTTGTATTTGAATTTATTAACAAAAATCCTGATGATATAACGAACAATTATTTATTTATTTCATAGACATATTTGATATTAACCTAGGTCAGCAGTATAATCAATAAATAATATAGGTAATGTTAATCTTATCAATGTCTGTAAATGCATTGTTGAGCATATTGTGTTTTGTTAATATTTACCATAAATATACTAAATAGTGTTAAAAAGTTAGAGAATTATTAGTAAATACTTTATACAAATCTAGTCTATATAGTGATTACCGGAACAAGGTTTTGAAAAACCGATAATAATAAACCCATGTGCAAACCTATAAATTTCCAAAGACATTCCTAGGACATGCACTATAAACGGAAAAAATTGTTCTAAAAATTAAAACCGAAACTGATTCAATTTGAAACGGTTTCAAGTCCTGCGTTTAAGTATCTAATTAATAGGTACATCAAAAACCTAATTGTACAATAAAATAAAAATAATTTAAATATAGTAATAGTTCATTACAATTTAAACAATTTTATAATTAATTTAAAATTAATCATGCTTATTGAATAATTTAAAGTTTTATTCAATATTTTACCTCTTCTTCTTCAGCACACAGGTCATCACTCTGAATAAGTTCCATCATCAATTTAAATGAAAATGATAAAAATGCATCGGATACTACAATATTCCTAGATAACAAAATGTAATCAAATACAGTACCTATCTCATTCTCATACTTTGATTTACATTCAATGTTGGCAGGCAACATACTGTAGAAAGTACCCTATACACAGTAATCTTTAAGACAGCTTTAAATTAATCTTACAACTATAAATGAAACAAAAAATAGGAATGTGAATTTCAAAAAATTCTAATATAATTATTAACTATAAATCATATAATTTTAAGTCACTATAATTTGTATTAACTTAAGTACTAACTCAAAATCTTTAGTAAATCAGCATTTAAAATAAACTTACTTATAGTTTTTTAGTACATATGACAAAAATAATTTATGCAAATCGTTAATATTATTTGTATCGGCAAAGCTTTTTACTGTCATAAAGTTTTCAGCATCAATTGTTTGTTCTACATATTTTAAGCATTCCACTTTCACATCATCGAGTATTAAAAAAATTGATGCCATTAATAATTCCTAAAATTAAAAATAAATTATAATTTATAATACTAAATAGATCTTGTATGGACTAAATTACAATGATTGATAGAAGTCACAATTACTTCATATAATGCAGAAGATATTATTTTATTACAATCAAATACAATTATTAAAATGTATTGTACGATAACCAAGATATAGATTATAGGTATTATATTACCTGCACATTAGAATCATTTATTGTTAGCTGTGATGTATATAGAAAATCTATTAATTGTTCAAATGAATTTGGAGTGATCTCTTTATTTTTAATCTCCAATAATGTAGAATCTTTAAAATTTCCAGTAAACATGCTATCAAAATATTTACTATGAGAAGCCAATATAGCTTTGTGAGCTGATATATTTTTATCTCCAACAACAAATTGTACATCGCAAAATTTATTATTCCTAAAAATAGTAATAATAAGGAACTGTAAATTAACAAAATATAATACAATAAATGAGTATGTATTATAATACTCTTTCATTTTCAAAAGTCATACATAATATGAGTGAGCGCTATATAATGTTAATTACTGTGACTGGTATATCTAACTTTGAGTGTAATAACTAATAACTAATGATATACGATATACGATATACCTATCGACATTCAAAAATTAATGCTTGCAGGAGTACTCAAAAATTATTAGTATGACACCATACCAGCATAATGCATACCCTCATTTTATGTCATAGTCTTACAATTACGTAACATAGCAAATTTAGCAGTACACATTTAGTTTAAGTATTAATGTTGGAGTGAATGTATCTATCATTAATTTGAAAGTATTTAATTAAAGTATCAAATTGCATTGAGTACATGTAGTCTGATAGAAAAATGAATACAATTCATATAACTTACAGGAAAAAGTTTGTATTGCATATTTTTTTTAACTGAGAATATTTCAGTGGTAAGGAAATATTTAATTCCATATTATCTTGGAATATTTTGTTAATTATGAGAAAAAAAATAGTAATTTATTTTTATTTTTTACTGTGTTTTGGATTAAAGAGTAAAAACTGTTTCAAATTGGTCATACAACTATGCATTCAATAATTAAGTGTGTTTAAAAAAAATATTATTTGCATATTTAGAAATTTATGTTCACACCTAATTTTTATTTTGCACAAAAAAACATATTTTTCTAAACAATTTTTAAGAGAATATGGGTGTATGTACAGAACCAAGAATATAATATTTGTAAGTATTTTAAGAAAAGAAAACATGAGTTCATATGACCTACTCGTATTTTGAATTTCTTCGATCATAAGAATCTGAACAGTAATAAAAGGTGGGTAGGTATTCAAATAAACTGTTATAGATCAAATATTTTAATTTTTATATGATTTATAAGCATTTAAAATTTTTTCTTAATATTTTATAAAGGTATAGGTGATACTATAATCATATATGTTATGTATACCTATATATTACTATATAGTGTATCAATAACAGGGGTCATCAAATGGCGGCCACCGAACAAATTTTATCTGGCCGTAGAACCGTTAATATTATACGTTCTAGAGTAGTGTTGTGTTGTAATTTATCATTTTTCTTCATTGGTTTTTACTTTTTACTGGGGTCAGCAATTTTATATTGAACAATTTCCAGACTTCTAATCCAATGGCTCTTCAAAAATATTAATTGGCGTCTGGCGACCCTTGCCGCCCGCAGTGCACAATAATATTAAAATATGTTATATCCGTTGTAGGTATTAAACTAAATATTAAATATTATTCACACACGTGTTAAAACCTACTGTTCCTCCTCCTACTAACAACAAAAGTACAAAACAACTAATGGTCATAGTAGCTGGGCTTAAGTTCAATAAAAAAAAATAAATAAATATTATTAAGAGGACACTCCACCCACATGAGTTTCCTCTGTCTTATGAAAATGTACCACATAGTAAAAACTGTTTTGTGCGGGACAAGCGACAAGCCGACAACTATACTCCCCTTCTGTATTTATAGTAGAATTACCACAGATACATAAATATATATACACATATATGTGATATGTCACGGGTAATGTTAACATTTGGATAATGTCGACATTACCCGCCATGAATATTATTAACTGCTGGTTAATGTTAACATTAACCGGTTAATATGACATTAGCCAAGGACTTATGGATAATGTCTTAACAACTATAAAATTGCATCATGCACGATATGAAATCATTTTAAATTATTAGCAATATTAAATATATTTTAGATACAATTAACCATATGCAAAAAAAAGATACAATAATTACTAATTACCATAAAATACATAATACGAGTATAATTTAAATGAGTTTATACTAATAATACAATATTGAATTTTATTTTATATTTTAAAATTTTTTATTTAAACGACGAGATTTATGGTTGCCTTTCAATTCATTAATTTTATTTAAATATTTTTTATCTGATAAATAATATGAATTATCTTCTCTTTTTTCAGACAATAATTTCTCAAATAAATTATAAAATTCCATTTTTGTTTCCATTTTATTTAAAATTAAATTTAAAACACTTAAGGGGCCTCGCTACTGCCGTCAATTTTAGCTCAAAAGACCTTTTGTTTTGACAAAATTAAAGTTAGTTTATGTTGCTCGATTTTGATTCTGTAAAAATATATGAATTCAGCAGAAAAATGTCTGTAGATCCTACGAAACACTTTGTAAAAATTAAATCTTTCATTATTGTAAACTATAGTTGAAAACTTGATAATATTAACTTTTTATAATCATAATAACAATTTTAATTAAAATTAAAAACGAAAAATGTTTCGTACGATCTTCAGACATTTTTCTGTACTGGAAACTGTCACACGTGAAAACTGAAACAGACTAACAACAGATCGAAGCGCGACGTCACATAGGTATAAAGATGAAATAAGATAAATATTAAGTTCATATATATTGTTTATTTTATCGGTAAGATATATAACTGACTAACTCAGTTATAAGTTAAGATAAGATATTATTAGCTGGGGTCAGCAACTCGCGGCTTGTGTTGCGATTTTAAGCCTGCGATTACAATTTATCTAAATTTAAAAATCATATTAATTTATTAGTATTTTCATATTTTAAATTTTTTTTATTATTATTATTATGTGTTATTATTAAAACTGTGTTAATATATACCACGTTAAATAATACCAAGCAGTGATGAAACTTAAATAAATTAAATTTGATATAACTTTTAAAATTTAGATTGTAATAATAAAATGAAGTGTGATATATAGGCCCGTGAATTTTATTTTTTATTTTTTGGTCCTTGGCACCAAAAAAGTTGCTCACCTCCATAGAATGCTAAAAAACCTCTATATAGCCTATTTAGTACATAACTTTTAACATTATCCAATATTGACTGGCTAAGGTTAACATTATCCGGATAATGTTGATGTTTCAAGTTTATAAACGAAAAATTACACATTAGCCAACACGGATGGCTGATGTCGACATTAGCCGGATAATGTCGACATTATCCGAATGTTAACATTACCCGTAACATATATATTATATATATATATAATATATATATATCTGTGAGAATTACCAAGGTTCCACAACGCACAGACGCACAGGGAAAAACTTTATCTGTGACGAAGCGTTTTTATTATTTGAATAACATAAATGCAATTAATGTTATCAGTTTGAGAACATATATTTTTTTTAAATTTAATTATTTTATGTTATTGGTTAGAGCTATTAAAAAAACAATAAAAACTAGTACGTTACGACACAGATAAGGGGGGATTAAAGTTGTTCAGCGTAAAACAGTTTTTGCCATGTTGTACATTTGTAAGACGGTGACAACACATTATGCGGGTATCGGGGTGTAACGTCCTTTTAAAGATCGTATATTTAATATTTACAGTTTTATTACCTTCGCATGTTATTTAATGCTTCGTATGATAATGATAAACGTTTTTCGGCACAGAAATTAGTCTTCGTTGGCTTTCTGTCAGACATACTAAAACAACAATTAAATCAATTTTATTTACCTATTTTTATGAATTATTTAACAGTACATTTATCAAATAGAAAATGATATACATCAATACATCAAAATCTTATTAAACACAAAATAAATGTGTCGGAATTATTAAATTGTTGAGAAGTAAGACATTATAAAACTAGAATTAATTCTAAGGTAAATTGTAGGTTTATCTGAAAGGATTGCAATGTAAAAAACTTGGTCCGATTTTTATATGTTTTTATATTCTTCGGAAGCATATCAGGGGTTGCACCTCACATAGGTAATATGTTTACAGTGGCACCGTGTCTACACTCAGTTGCGTAGTGCGTACGCGTTCTGAGTGTACGCACCGGCTGGCGTTGCTAGCTCCCGGATGGGTGACCACCCGGGATTATTAGCAACATATACTTGCCACACATTGGTACCTACGTAACAACATCTCGCAATGATGTAAGCTGTTCTTATGAAAAAATACAATAATATATATATCTTACCCTGCTACCCCACACTATCGTGCGTATGACTCGTATGAGTAATCAAAAAGCGTCCTCTATGTTGTTACACTTTCCATACATACTTGTGACCTATTAATTATCTAGTGGTTAGTATGAGGTCTAAGGGTAGATGGCATATGATAACTGACAAGATAGACCATTTTGATTTCACATATATGTACTTTAACAATGCTCTCATTAACCAATACGATTGTGCACAGTCGTGGCTCTTGCCCTCTAGGTATAGTATGGCATAAATAAATAGTTTTGACACAATCATGATAAATTAAATAAATATTTATCATGGACACGATGACACTTACAGGATTCATGTTCTACACTTTTTTAGTAATATCAGAGGTTATATCAATAGCCTTCAAATAGTGGCCATAATTAATGAACTACTAACTAGGTGGTGGTAGATCCAAGCATCATCAACACAATATTTAGTTAATGTTACCTATATTAGAATTTAGAGTAATTAGTAATACATGGGTAAAACTTGATGTTCGTACTTACTTATTAAGTAGGTATAGAAAACTAAAGTGGATATTGATTGAACTGTATACCTACATTTATTCCTCTCAGTGCACCGGTTGGTTTGTGCTTATAACCAAATTAAAAATTAAAACTACGACTAGGTACTTACTTTAATTAAGTACGAAACAATTAAATAGGAACGTACTTCACTGTCTGTTAGTTCTTGCTACAGTATAGGTACCTAGGTAGGTAGCTGTACTTGGGATTAGAAAATGGAGGATATGAATAAATTAACATACAACTCTTTAGGATATTGTGTTTCACTATACTACACTAATAATTTCCAATGGTTTACGTTACACACTTACACGCGGACACATCACACGCAACTGGTAGATAAAATCAGAGACGCAGAGTAGACGGTTCGTGTGTAGACTTTAGACACTAAACAGGATTATAGATATTAGATAAGTATACACTAAACTACTAAAGGAACAGAGGGAGGAGAGCGTCGAGTGCAGAGAACGAGACGCAAACGCTATTTAGTTATCACTTATCACACTAAATTATTGTGCTCCGTTCCGCTCCTACTTATAACCAGTATCGCATGTTATATGTAAGTTAAGCATATAGTTATTAGTACATTAATATGATATGTATACTGGCGTACGTGACTACAGGAATCCAGACGCTCCAGCAGGAATCTGCTGATCCAGCAATTCCCACCCTGGCCGTTGTACAGAGAGGCCCATTATTGGTTACGGCCGCCTGGCAGTCGTTAAGTTAGACGCACTCAAGCAGAATCTCTTTTGTATACAGAAAATCAATGAGTAAGTCGAAAGCATTGATTGTATTAGTTTAATAATTTTTAGTAATAAAGTATCTTTTAACATTAAAACCGTATCTTTGCCTAAATTTCTTTAAATACGTCCAACTGTCTTTTACCAAGGATAACAACGCACCGGTTCACATCACGCAACTACGTAATGATAAGGGGCCCGTGTGAGATCCTTTTTTTGGGCCCCTTCCTAAATTCTAAATTAATTTTACTGTAATTATTACAATCTATAAGTGCCAACGTTTTTTGGTTTTGTGTATACCTGCATATTTATATATATTTTTTTTTGGTTCATACATTGTATGTTTTTGTAACATACATTGTGAAGAATCATTAACACATGTACAATTAAGAGATCTCGCAAAATCGACAGTAAAATCTTTTAGAGAAGTACAACTTGATACCGAAGATATAACTCTAACGATATAGTACTGCAGATTTTACCTTTACTGAAAACAAGTTATCATCAGAATTAAATAAAAGTCAGGAAAATTGTTATAAAACAAATATTAGCGAATCAGTGCCACAGTTAGAATTAGAAAATAAAGATACAGATACTGTTGAAACTGGAGAAGTGGCTCAACAATTAAAAAGTCTTTTGATAAACCTAGAACAATCACTTTCACCAGTTAGAAATATTAAACAATCAGATAATTTAAAACTTGAATCTGAAGAGTTAAATAAAAATATTAACTTGAATGCTGATTTAAAAATAATTAATAACAATACAAAGAAAATCTATAATTTAGTTATGGCATAATTTCATTTATTGCACATATTATAGTAAGAATATATATATATATATATATGTTACGGGCAAAGTGGAAAATTCGGGCAATGTATACAATGCCCGGGCATTGTACACATTGACCGGGCATTGTATACAATGTCCGAGGTATATTGGGCAATGTAAATTGTGAAGTATTTACTATTTATACAAATAATCTGCATAATATTATTTTACTTAATCAATGATATTATATACTAATTTAATTATACTCGTTTATATGGTTATTTATATAAGAGTATTACAATTTTTTTTAAATTAATTAAATTTTAAATGTGTTTAAAGGTAATGCAATAAAATATTATGTGCATAATGTTCAGTTATATGATATTATACATGAAGTTCATTTGTAAATTGGACATAGAGGTAGAAATAGAATGGAACAAGAGATTAATAAAAAGTACAAAAATATAACTAGAGATGTAATAATGTTATACTTAAATAATTGTGAATCGTATAAAAAGAAGGGAAGTACAACTAAAAAAGGGTTGGTTGTAAAACCAATCATATCTTCTGAAATGAATTCTCGCTATCAAATTGACTTGATCGACATGCAAACACAATCAGATGGCGAATATAAGTTCATATTAGTTTATCAGGATCATCTAACAAAATATATTATGCAGATTATTTATATAAATACTTCACAATTTACATTGCCCAATATACCTCGGACATTGTATACAATGCCCGGCCACTGTGTACAATGCCCGGGCATTGTATACATTGCCCGAATTTTCCACTTTGCCCGTAACATATATATATTACAGTGAATGATAAAATTCACCAGTGCATTATTGTGGCAGTCAACGAATAACGTGTATTTTTTTTTAAGTTTAATTTGATCGGTAACATAAATAATCTTTGACTTGCTATCTTTATACAATATATTGATTAATTAATTTTTTTTTTTTATTTTTTTTTTATTATTTTTTTATTTTTTGTTTATTTCATAATTTGTTAAAAAATTTTCAATAGTTCTAGTGATTCTGAAATTATAGGTGTGATAATAATTCATACGTTGCAAATAGAGGAGACAATAGTCGAGAACTACCGAGGAAGTGGATCGGGTATTTACTATGAACCAATTTATAAAATGAGAGTATATTCTAATGAATTTAATTTACTAACACATGTAAATATTTCTGTTTTTGTTGAAAAATTTGGTGATATAAATAATTTAATAAACTACAATGATAGATTATGTTCAGTCAACAAACATAATGTTTCAAATATATGCAGTAATTTTAATTCAACGTTGAAAATAATTAAAACGGAACTATTGAAACGATACACAACACTTATGTCTTTATAGGATGGGGTAAGAATAAAGAGGGGCTTAATAAATGCAATAGGAGAATTTGAAAACTGGGCCTTCGGAGTTGTGGGAGACAACGACTATCAACATATACAGCAAGAATTAAATAATAATAAAAAAAATTTAGTTACTATGAAGTCGAGAGTAATAAATTAGTTCAATCAACATCAAATCAGATATCAAATGTATCGTCGACAATATCACAAAATTTCATAAAGATTCAACGAGAATATAATGATTTGGTAGATAAAATTAATGTTAGGAGGAATGATCTGATAGAACTTCAAGTAAATCAGCAATTAACTAACTACTTAACAAATTTTAATTTAATTTTAACAAGTTTTTCACTTGAGATAGAAAAATTATTAGATGCTTTACTACTAGCACAATAAAATACACTTCACCCTTTAATCCTTAATAGTGATTAAATTTATTTAATTTATAGTGATAAATTAATTTTGGAAAATATACAGCGAGAATTGCCCGTAAATCAAGTTTTACCACTAAATATTGACACAAATTCATCTTTGGAAGGTATTATGAAACTGACGAAAGTGACGACTAAATTTTCAAATTTTCAATTATTATTCATTATAAATTTTCCTTTATGTACTTCAGAGATTTATACATTATTTCAGATATGGCCGATGCCAATAGAGATAACAAATTTACAATTTATGTTTATCCAACCCAATAATCCATACCTGGCAATTTCATCTGACAACCAACATTTTATATCTTTTTCTGATATTGAATACAATAAATGCACACTAGGGGTGACTATAAAATATTGTGTGTTGGATATGCCGGTTTATTTGGAATCATTCACATTATGCGAAATACAGCTTCTTAAATTAACGAATAAAAATTTACTTCTAAAACAATGTTCGGTTCATCATATTTATTATAATAATGCTTACTTTGAAAAACTAAAAACAAAAAATACATTTTTATATTGGGTAGCTACGGAAATACAAACCACCTTGGTTTGTTCTGAGTCAACAACATTTCATACTTTAAAAGAGACGGGGCCTATAAGGTTATCAAATGCATGCACGTTATATACACCAACCGTGGTTCTTAAATCGTCAGGAGAGGAAATCAAAAATATAAATGTAATAGTTAACATAAATCCAGACATATCGTTATTAAATGTTTCCAAATTAGGTTTAAAAAAAGACAAAATAAAGATTTAAAAAAAAAATTTAAAAAAGATTAACTTCCAAATTCCAGAGTTAAAAATTGGCTACAGCCTATTTGCGCCCCAGAGTAGTACATTTGTGCCCAGAGGGATATGGACAGTTGCGCCCGAAAGATAAGGTACTACCTGCCGATTTATAGCCTATATGCGCCCATTTCGTATGCAACGTTGCCGTTGTGATTCATATTATTATAGATTATATTTATCTTGATAAATAACTTAAATTATTTAGATTACCTAGTAGATTATATTATAATATATATTATATTATTATATTTTCCGAAATTTTTTTTTTTTTTAATTTGAAATTTTTATTTTATTTGTATAATTTTATGTGAGATGAATTATTACTAATTATTATTATTATTATAATCTACTAATTGTGCAGTTATTATTTATTTTATTATTATTTACTGTAGTAATAATTCATCTCACATAAAATTATACAAATAAAATAAATATTTCAAATTAAAAAAAAAAAAATTTCGGAAAATATAATATAAGATTGAGTACATGCAATTATTATAAAAATTAATACTGTTGATTTTTCTCACACTTCATATATAATAATAAAAAATATTTTATCATAAGTTAAACCTTAAGGTAATATAATAATAAGTTCATATTTATATTTCAAAAATGTTAAAAAAAAATTAAATAAAAATTAATAATGTTGATTTTTTCACATGTCATATAAGGTATGTCTCATATATGTCTCATATATGGTAATAAGTAGTATTGCTTGGTATTCCAGAATACAGTTTGGCAACGTTGTACAGGTTTAACACATTTTCATTAAAAATATTTCGGGCGCAAATGGGTTATGATTTCGGCGCAAGTGGGTTATAAAAAAAGTGTGATGGGCGCAAATGATTTGCACAGAAAAAATTTACACCAATCTTCCCAAAAACTAGACGAAATTATAAATGATATAGACAGAGAATTGGAGAACACCGTAATTAACAACTACCAAGGTCCAGGATTTACACACTTATGGGCTGTATTAATAGTGGGTATTGTTGGATATTTAGTAGTTCACACAATTAAATAAAAATGTGCTGTAGAGGAGAAAGAAAGCCAGGGAAAATGTTGAGAATCAGAAGTAGAGGGCTAAATAAAGTTAATATAATATAATTAAAGTACCACAAAAAATAAAAATAAAAAAAAAAAATTTAATTTTTTTAAATTATACAAATATGAACTTAATTTCTTTACTATGTTTGGTTTGTGTGTGAGGTTAACAATAATTTAATTTTTAAATTGTAGATATCATAAATGAAAAAGGTTGTAAAATTTTTATGTAAAGTGTCTAATAATAAATTTACACTATAAAGAAAAAATATATATTATGTACCTATATTGAAAATTATTAAAAATATATTGTATCACCAGAATGTTATAGTAAAATGTGTTTACAGTTTAAATTTGTCTGATTATAATGTATTACCTACATATATTATCTATGTATATGCATGTATAAAAAGTTTTAAAACATGTACCTAATTAAAAATGAAATTTATATTACGTAATTGTACTAATTAATTTTATTAAAAAAAAAAAATTTCTTAATATATACATATGTATGTTAAAATAAACTATAGGGAAACCAAAAGGGGTAAGTGATGACAGCCGTGGGTGTCGGTATTCAATGATGGAAGAGTCAAGACAATCCACATCACTAACCAGTATTTTCAAGCAATAATATTATTAAATACCCATAACCATTGCCTTGGTGGCTTGGTGTTTGTATACTTAAAAAATTCATGTTTTACAGTCCAGCAAGAAAATACAGTCGGAGGTGGTTGGAGTACAGTTATTTTTTGCAACTGGATGAACATGAAATCAGAGACTATAAAAATACCACTGACACAGCTACCGTTGTTCGACTTCCCAAATCTGGGGTCCAGATTTAAATGGACAAAGGGTACATGTAAGATGTAACGAGTGTCGTTATAGACAATAGACATCGTACATTAGTGAACATTACTCCCTATGTTAAGCATAGATAATATGCTGAGTGTTGGTAATGGCAAATGTGGTCAAGCAATATAAATTATTATATTATGCTGACTAGAGTTCTGACGCGTCGAGTGAATGGTCGATAGTGAAGAGTAGCAGTCGATGGGTGACGAAGACTTGATGAGGACCCACATGGACATAAGCACTCACGACACACCACCACGGCCCGATTGGTAACCCTCATTTAGATTATAAGACGTAATATAATATATTATTTATAGTATGATAGATTGTAAGATAATTGTATTAATAATATAAATGATATATATAATATAATATATATACGTTTGAGTCTTTGCTTCACATAAGGTGACCGTGATTAGTAACAATAATATCACTCACCGAGGTCGAGTCCCCGAGACCTCGTAAATATAAACAGAACCCCACCGCCAGAGCGAGAGGTGAAGAGGGGACGTTACAAAATTTTATTCAATCTGTTTCAAAGGGAACAATAAGAATAAGTGATGGTAAGAATAAGCTAAAATTAATACAAATAAAAAAGCAGACTAAACAGATTTCAGAGGCATCCCAGAACTAAATTATTAAATACCTTTTTTTTTTTTTATTAAAAGAAAAAAATATATAGAATCTGTATTATACTATACAATAAGTAATACGATTAATAAATTTACAAAACTTAATGGAAGGGGATTTCTAAACAACACTACTTCATTTCTAGACTTTTATACATTTTTTTCTTCTTTTTTTCTTTTTTATTGATTGAGGAGGTTCCTGGGCCAATTTCACTTTAGACGACGTGGTGGGTTATCGGGGAGAGTGAGGGAGGAGAGATTGGAAATGAGTGGATTATGGTGGTTGACTGTGTTGTTGTGAAATGATTTATAGTAGGGGAAGGCTAGAGTATTAATGTTTGGGATTTTGAGGTCAGAGTGGAGTGTGAGGTTGCTGACGTACCAGGGAGCGTTGGTGAGGAGGCGAAGGCAAATTGATTGGAAGGATTGGAATTTTTGAATGTTGGATTTTTTGGAGGTACTCCATAGCTGTATTCCGTAAGTCATTGAAGGGCCGAGAATTTGTTTAAATATTACGAGTTTTGTGTTGAGAGGGAGATTTGATTTAAGAAGGTGTTTCATTTTGTGGAGTTATAAATTAAGTGATTTCCTTTTTGTTTTTACGTGATATGCCCGTGTGAGTTTACTGTCGAGGTGGACTCCGAGGTAACGGGTGGCTTGTGTTTTGGGAATCGTGTCTTTGTTGAGGATCATGGGGGGACTATGATCTGGACGTAGAATAAAGGTTATATGGGTAGGTTTTTTTTTTTGATGTATTTTGATTCTCCACAAATTGAACCAGTTTTGTGGTTCATTAAAATGGGTTTGTAGATGCTGTGATTAGGTCAACATTAGTTGAGATTATGCCTGTGTTATCTGCGAAGGTAGCAAGAGTGGTGTTCTCGGAGTGAGGGATGTCGGAAGTAAATATGTTGTAGAATGTAGGAGCTAGAATACTTTCCTGGGGGACGCCTGCTTTTATGTAGTGGATTTGTGAGAGTTCTTCCTCGCAACGAACAACGAAAGACCGGTTATGTAGGAAAGATTTTATTATTTAAAACAAGGGGGCTGGTAAAAGTCGTATTTTATAAAGGCCGAGACGCGGTCAAACGCCTGGGCTACGTCGAGAAAGACGCCAGTGGATATTGTTTATTTTCGAGAGTTTGTGAAATAATGTCGATTATTCTGTGGACTTGATAGAGTGACGAATTTTTATTTTTGAAACCGAATTGAGTGTGGGGTATTATATTTTAGATTGTTAATACAGGGTTTAAAATCGCTTTAGTATAATCTTTTCTAGGATTTTTGAGAAAGAAAGCAAAAGGCTGATAGGTCGATATGAAGAAGGAAGGTCAGGAGGTTTATCAGGTTTTATAATTAGAATAATTATGGAGTGTTTCCATGAATGAGGAATGTGCGAGAGGTGAAGAATTGAGTTGAAGATGAAGGTTAGGAGAAGAATAGCTTTCTTGGGCAGTTGTTTTATAATTCGATTTGTTATTAGGTCGTGACCTGGTGATTTATTGTTTGGTAATTTATTGATAATAAATTGAATTTCGGTGGGGGGGTATGTTTTGTGGGTAAGGTTATAGGATGATAGTTGGATAGATATTTTTCAATATAGGATGTTTGATCGATGTTGTTTACGTCGGAATGAGAAGTGACATTGTTTTCTAGAAGAGAGGGAAACAGGTTTGATTTTTCTAAGTGGGTCTTAGCAAGGGATCTGTCAGGATATCTAATTGGTGGTATAGAATTTTTTTTATTTAAAATTCTTTTAGTAGCTTTCCAAATAGAATTTTTTGAGTTGGTTAAAGAGTGTATATATTGTTGGTACGTTTCTGTGTGGTGAATGCGTAACTAAATACCTATAAATGTTGTGTACGTCGTCACTCGCCAACCGTCGCGCGTCGTTGTATTCAGCTTTCACTCTATCAGCGATCAGCTTGTTGTTCTTCCGACAATTCGACAAACAACGACCCATAGACGCGATAAAAATAGATCTTATGGAAAAATTGATAGTACTTAAAATGTTAGAAATGTTGACACTTGAATACTTGATAGGTACCCACCTTTTTCTAAACCTACCATCCTTCAACATACTTATTACTTAATCTAATATTAGTATACCTACAACTACACTTATGTTTCAACTTAAAAAAAATGTACTGTGAATAATTAAGTTTTGAGTTTTAAGACAATTTCAGTGTTTGCTCCAGCCGCTCCAGGTTGGGCTCGGAGCCCCCCAAATTTATGTAAGCCTTGACCCTTGAGGCCCTTGTGCTCCGCACACTCTGCACACCCGATTTTTGCGGCACTGCTTATAACAACTTCGTGGTTTGCAGAGACGATTTGCGTAATGTTCTGGACAAAAAGAGGGTTACCCACAGAGTAACAAGAAGCTCTCCGATAATACAATTATATTATATCACAATCAATGTTACATGTGCAATGCGCATTGTGCAGTACATATTATTATTTTATTATGACTAACAAATAATAATTAACTCAAAGCTCACAGGCAAATATTAACGTACTACAGTGAATCTAACAATTGTTTCAACTTATGACAATAATACAATATAATTGTACGACCTGAAGGACTAATTTCATACAAAATACACTTTAGCATTTTAAATATGTTTAAAATACATTAGGTGAAAAAAACATAGTCCTAACTTGGTTTCTGAGTTTTTGAAGTTAAAATTTTTACAAAACGCACAACAATTTTAGAAAAATGTTAACTAATACATTTATGGCTGAACGATTTATCACACGATTCCACAAGACACGTAAGTCATAACTCATAAGTAATAAAGGAAACTATAACCAAAAAAATCTAAAAAATATTCCAACACAATTTGTTTTATAGATATTTTAAGAAAGTTCAAATTTGGACAAACTAGAATATTTAAAATAATAGTAATGATTTCAGTAATTTTGTTATACATATTTCAAAAATATTGTTTGTGCGTACTTGAAACTTTTATGTACATAAAAAATTTTTTATACACACAACGGCATTTTAAAAATATTTAGATTTATTTTAAGCTATATATTTCAAGTCAATTGGATATTTGTACCTTTTCATACTGTTCTACAGAAAATTAGTGTTAGCTTAAAAGTTAATTAATAATAATATACTATTATACAGCAATATAGAGCATATAAATGCACCGACGTGCTGTCAGGCTTCAGTTTTATTCCACAGATATGGAACTTACCCCAGGGTTTTGGGACAGCCAGGCCTCGAGAACTACCGCCGCCATCCGACGCAAGCGGATTAAGAAGGCCCCAGCCGCACAGCACCCTCCAGAGACCGAGGCTGACACCGCCATGGAGACCGATGCCGAAGAATGGTCGAAAGTCGTCGGCAGACGATCGAAGCAAGCGAGTAAAATGACGGCTGCTGCACCCCCACTCACCACGGGACTCCGTCAGCGTCCATCAGTTTTCTCTAAAAAACCGCCGGCGATCCTAATCCAAAACGCGGCCGGAAAGTCCTACCAGGACACCATTCTGGCGGTGCGAAACTGCGGGCTGACCAGGGAGGAGATAGGCACCAGCGTAATGATGAGGCAGACACGGGATGGATGTCTCCTCTTGGAGCTACCCAAAGGCAGCAGCTCCACGAAGGCAGCCAAGATAATCGCCTCAGCCATGTCCAGCAAGCTCGGCGACACCGTCGGTAAGGTGGTACAGCTCGGGGTCCAGGTGGAGGTTGAGGTGCTCGACATCGATGCAGCCGCCACCGCATCGGAAGTACTGGAGGCACTTCGGAACGCGATCCCTGGTCAGGATGACCCGACAGGCAAGATCGACAGGGACGTTGTGAGTGACGTGAGGATATGGAGTACCCGATCCGGACAGCAGATCGCGACGGCGAAAATGCCCAGGAGCATTGCTGCCAGCATCACTAGGGTCCCGATCGGGTGGACCATGTGCCGCGTCCGGCCAAGGACGCTGCCACCTGAGAGGTGTTTCAGGTGTCAGGCTTTCGGCCACAACGCCAGATCCTGCACCGCGGAGGACAGGACGGGCGCCTGCTGGAAGTGCGGCGTGGTAGGCCACGCAATGAAGGACTGTAAGGAGGCTGACGACCGGTGCATCGCATGCGAGATCACCGGACTGCAAAGGGTCTTACACAAACCAGGCTCGGGTGCGTGCGCCGCTAGGAGACAGTCAGCAGGCACAGGTCTCAGATGATTAGCTTCCTCCAAGTTAATCTGAACAGATGCTGGGCGGCGGAACAGCTTATGACGCAGACGGCGAACGAGATCGGGGCCGACCTCCTCATCGTATCAGAACCTGCTTCACAGTACGGTCACGATGATAGATGGTGCTTCAGCACGGACCGCAAAGCCGCCGTGGGAACATCGCAACACACCGAACTCTGCCACGATGGTCGGGGCTCGGGCAACGGGTTTGCTTGGCTATCTTTTCGTGAATTGACCGTCTTCAGCTGCTATTTCAGACCTAGTGCCACGCTCCAAGAATACACTCACTCCCTAGGTGACCTTGAAGCGTCTATCCGCGCCAGGGGAAACGCTTCTATCGTACTAGCAGGGGACTTTAACGCTTGGAACATAGAGTGGGGCTCGAGGACTAACAACCCAAGAGGCGTCACACTGTCCGACCTCGCCTCCAGCCTGGGGCTGATCCTAGCCAATACAGGATCCACTCCCACCTTTGTGAGAGGGGCAGCGAACTCCATCATCGACCTAACCTTCTACAGAGGACTGGATCTCACTGAATGGCGCGTATCCGAGTCTGAGTCACTAAGTGATCACAGCTACGTCTGCTTCAGTGTGGACAACCGGAGCCAGGCCCCGGCCCGAGTGGAAATGCTCGCCGACGCCCATCGCGGTTGGTCCACAAAGAAGTTAGACACGGACGCCCTGCACCACTATCTTAGCACCACTCGTCTGGAGGTGGCGGCTGTACAGGCAAGCACTGAAAAAGCGCTATCCTCAGCCGAATCACTCGACACATTCTTGTTCGGTGCCTGCGAGGCGTCCATGCCCACGAAAAGACCTGGTCCCGAAGGTAGGCGACCAGTTTATTGGTGGTCAGAGGAGATCGCCGAGCTACGGAGGCAGTCCCTGACCCTCCGTAGGTGCTACCAAGCCTGCCTCAGACGCTTAGGCCAGCCCGGAAGCCAGGAGGCAAGATTTGCTTACATCGCAGCTAAAAGAGAGCTTCGGACGGTCATCCGCGAGGCAAAGAGAAAGTCCTGGGCCGATCTCTGCAAACAGGTCGACACCGACCCTTGGGGCAGACCGTACAAGCTGGTAATGAAAAGGCTAGGCGTCCGAAACCCAGCTGCTGACTCCAGGGGCAGGGAGGCCATGATCGCCGACTCTCTTTTCCCCGCGGCTCCAGTAACGGACTGGAATGCAGCGCCGTCCGCTGCTGTACATAATATTTTCCAAGCGTTCGACCCTATCCGGAACACGCTTGAGTTCAACAGAATCATCCCGAAGTTTACACCGGAAGACCTACGGAGAGCAGTAAAGAGGCTCACACCTGGTAAAGCGGCTGGACCTTCGGGGATCCCTAACGAGGTTCTCAGGGCTCTCGCGAACGCCCAGCCTCAAGCAGTCCTCAGAACATATAACGATTGTCTACACGCACTGATATTTCCGCCTCGATGGAAAAGGGCACGGCTCGTTCTGCTGTGGAAAGGCCCTGACAAACCTCCAGACGTCCCTTCGAGTTACAGGCCCATCTGTATGCTTGACACCCCGGGTAAGCTACTTGAACGCCTCTTGCTCCAAAGACTCGAGGATCACCTCGACGAGCACGGAGGCCGGAGAAGAGCCCCGAACCAATATGGCTTCAGGAAGGGGGTCAGCACAGAGTCAGCAGTCAGCAAAGTCCTGAGCATCGCCGCACGAGCGGCCGATATGCCTAGAAAGAAGAACTTATGTGTCCTCGTGACGTTGGACGTCAAGAATGCATTCAATTCTCTCAGGTAGCCAGTCATTGACGCCGCCCTGAGGAGCATTAACGTCCCCGAGTACCTGGTGGAAATGCTTCGATCCTGGTTATCAGACAGGGTGCTGTTGACAGGCGAGGATATGACATCCAGGCCAGTGACCTGTGGAGTTCCGCAGGGGTCGGTCCTCGGACCTGCCTTATGGAACATCGCTTACGACTCCCTCCTAAAGATGGACGTGCCACCCTGAGTGCAGCTGATAGGCTTCGCGGACGATCTCGCTGTGGTAGGAATAGCTGTGACAGGTCAGCTTTTGGAGGACGCAATGAACCCTACTCTCGAGGCCATCGATTGCTGGATGGCAAGCAGTGGCCTTGAGCTAGCTCACCATAAGAGCGAGGCGGTTATTCTCTCGCGTAGACGTGCGTTCGTTCCCCCTCGGCTGACTGTCGGTGGTCATCAGATCACTATTTTCAACAAGATAAGATACCTTGGGGTTATCTTAGACAAAGGGCTCACATTCGCGGCGCACGTTGACAGCGTTGCCAAAAAGGCAACCCAGACAGCGGCAGCACTGGCCAGGCTGATGCCAAACATAGGAGGCCCAGGGCAGTGGAAGAGGAAACTGCTTGGCTCGGTCGTGGACAGCCAGCTGCTCTACGCCGCCTCAGTATGGATTAATTCGATTACCAACGTCGCCAGAACTAGGGCGAGCCTTATCCGTCCACAAAGATCCATTGCCTTGAGGACAATCCGGGCCTACCGAACTGTCTCAGATGA